CTCTGAGGCAGACCAAGTTCTAGGCTGTATAAACACACACACAACCCAATTATGTGCGCGTGTGGAGGCGGAGCGTCGACTACCTGTCAAGGTCTGGTGTTTCGTAGATTCAGCGGCTGAACCAGGGAATAATTCATACATCCTAAAGCGTGTTTCACATGCAGCGATTTTGGCCCTAGAGCGGCGCGATTTCTGCCGTCGCGGCGCTCGTGCCACTGAATTGCTGGTGCTGGCCAGAGCGCCGCGACGGCAGAAATCGCGCCGCTCTAGGGCCAAAACCGCTGCATGTGAACTAGGCTTAACAGTGGTTAATGCGAAAAACAAAGAAACAGCGATCCCGAGACCGTGCAAAGAAAAGAGGCAAGCAGCGAAGTAAGGTAAAGTGGAAGCCATCCTGCATCATTCGTTGCTAGCAACCGTGCCCGGCCCGTTGCTTTTGTGCAGGGGGCGCGAGCGCGTCCTCAAGACGCGACCATGTTATGCTGGCAGCACTATCCAGGCGGCGCTGTAACGTTCGATTTTTGCACGTGCCATGTTTGAATGCAAGCATCTGACAGCATCTGTAGACGCGCGATAACAAAACATCTAAAAAAAGAAAAACTAAAATAAAAAAAAAGAATTATGCAGCTCGCGGCCTCAGCGTCTCATTCAGCGTCCAAGAACACACACGAGCGCGCGTGCTTGGAAGGGACACTGCAAGCTCTGAGCTCGCTTTCGTAGCCTCTGCTACGCCGGCATTTAGAATGGAACGGAGTATAAAAAACTGTAGTGGGGAAGCGTGATGATGCACATTCGAAACGCGAGCCAAATATTCTATTTTACTCGCCTGGAGCGCTGCTCAAAACTTGAGAGCTACGGGCCTATAGTGCAGTGACTACGACATTAGTTCCAAAGCGAGAGACGCTCGCTAGGAGCAGAGAGAGACTGTGAGGCGCACCGCCATGTTTCTACGCCGTCCCTGCCAACGTTGCGTTGGTCCCTGCTCTGCCGGTCACGTGACCTAATATTTCCCCCGTAGGCACGGCTCTGTCGTAGGGGGCCAGCAAGCGGGCCCAGGGGTTCGATCAGGATTGGAAATTCAAGAAAGGAGCACTGGAAGCGGAAAGAGCACACCAAATGAGGAAGTGCAGGGGACAGGGAGGGGCTATTGGTAGATTAAAATTTGAAGAAAGGTTAATTAAAATGGATGATTCCCGGCGGGCAGGTAAAGTACAGGGTGTCACAAAAGAAAATTTGCACGGCCTTTTTTACCGCAAAAATAAACTAGGCATCACCGAACGCTCATTCTCCGCCCAAAGGTAGAGCTAGAGGTCACAACCAGTTGCCAAAGTTTCAGCCCGATCTGATAACTTAATCAAAAGTTATAAGTGATTTTCTGAAAATTTCCATGGGAAAATGGAGCCCATTTTTGCCTGTTTTCGGTTTCTGGTGCCATAGAGCCCCATGTGTTTGAAAACTCCGTCCGCCGCCAATTTTTCCAATTGAAATTTTCAGAAAATCACTTATAATTTTTTATGAAGTTATCGGATCGGGCTGAAACTTTGACATCTGGTTGTGACCTCTAGCTCTACCTTTGGGCGAAGAATGAGCATTTGCCGATGCCTAGTTGGGTTTATTTTTGCGGTAAAAAAGGCCGTGTAAATTTTCTTTTGTGACACCCTGTATTTACGTTTAAACACAAAATGGACAAACAAACACGAAGCTGATTTTTCAATACCTGTACACTGTTACAAAAATGCAGATGGGTACAGTATTGTAAAGTTGCCACTCCGGAGTTCTCACTCCGGAGTTCACTCAATTCACTCCGGAGTTGAAATGATTCCCGAATCATTCCACACTTTTGCGATCCAGGAATGTAACGGGGGGATCCGGACATTTCGGTGTAGGAAGTTTCGGTGCATGGGAGTACCAACTGGGGGGGGGGGGGGGGGGGGGGGCAAAGCATGTGTTTTGCCCCCCCCCCCCCCCCTGAAGCAGCCGCCACTGGGCAGGGTAAACGAAGGCACCCTAGGGTAAACACTAGCCGGCGGCGCCCAAAGGATACCAAGGGCACCGCCCCCCGGCACGGGGGGGGGGGGGGGGGGGGGAAGGGGGGGCTCTGGTTTGCCCCCTCCCCCCCCCAACTCAAGAACAAGTTGGTACGCCACTGTTTCGGTGCAGGGCGTTTCGGTGCACGGACTTTTCGGTGCACGGACCTTTCGGTGTAGATATGTGCCTTGGTTTATTGTTAGGATTAGAATTGAACGGGAACAGAATGGCGGCAGAGCTGGGAGGAATGGAGTGGGAATTATATATGTACTTTTTACACGGAATAGAGTCGGGTTTTATGTGAGCTGGTGTCGACCAGCTGCTGGCGCTATTCTCTAGCGTACGGTCAAAGTTACTCTTAAAATATGTATCGATTCACCGAAGGTGACTGACGGTCCAACGGCACATATTCGTTGGAGGATGAAAGATGGCGCGCCTCGTCCATGCAGTGATGCAACCAAAACTGAAAGCAGACGTAAAATGTGTTCCTGGCAACGCGAGACGCGAAGAAGTGTATGTTGTAACCATGTATGATTAGCACGTGGCTTTGAACCTATAGAATCAGTGTTTGTGTGGAACACAAAAAAAGAATCAGCGGTTTTGTGTACTCGCTTCTGTCTGTGCACTCGGCTCCAGCTTCCAGCTGTGATGTTGTGCAAGTATTCGAAGCAGGGGAGGCACTCACTTGATCGAATGACGTTTTAGCGAACGCCCACGCTTCACCGAATGACACTTTAGCGAATAGTCGGACACCGCGAAGCGGCGTTTTCGGGTGGGCCAAATGGGTTCACATTTTTATAATGAGCCGCCGCAGACCGTCGCCGCGAAGCGGCGTAAGCGCAGCGCGGCGGATGGGTTAGCACGCGCCCCCGTTACTAAAACGTCATTCGCTCATGTGATATGGACCCCAATGACCGCTATTTTTTTTTTTTTGGGGGGGGGGGGGGGGCGGGGGGGGGGGAGGGGAGGGGGGGGGGGGGAGCGGGAGCCGGGAGGTGGTGTTGGCCGGGAGATGTGTGAACCTCCAGTCAGGGGCAAGTGTGCAATGACAGAAAGTGCTACGAAGCGCTCTGTGCGACCACCGCTAGGTTTAGTGTCTGCGCTAGGTTTAGTGTCCTGGCGTTAAAGGAACGGAATAGACTACTTCCATAAAGCCCTGCATCCAACACGGCGCGCGTTGCACTCTGGGAACTAGTTGGCCAGGGAGGAGGGTGGCACGGTTTCGGTTTCGGTCGACACGTCGACAAGAAACTATACACAGAGCGTGGACTATTACGGCCGTTATCTCATGTTTTCTGGTCCCGAGAGCGTCATTTGTGGTCTCTAAACTAACCTAAATGGCCAGACCTTGAAGCTTTAGCACAAGCCTTCCTGTTAGCGTTCAAATCGAGGTATGTGGACGGGCCAGTGCTGGGAATCTCGACGCTGCGAACCTCGCGGGGATCTTGCTTGTTTACGAATCAACAAGCTGTAGCAACCAATAAGTATGCATACATCGAGCTCGCGCCTTTACATTAGTGTTGTTGATCAGGAAGTTTGTTTGTTTCGTGCGTCCATAGACGAAATATTACTTCTTGCAATTACTGTTTTTCTTAATATGCCTGAGTATGCGGGGTAAAACTTGGAGGCGCCATTGAAAAGCTCAACTTTAACACACTTCTTATCGCTTATCTGTACTGACCCGCAGCACTGCACGAAGCGAAGTCGCCGCCCGCTTGCATTCCACTAATATTGAACTTCGCGTATGCGCATAAAGTTATCCTGCAATCATATCGGCAAATTCGCACGTACAGACCGCTTTAAGAAAGCAAAAGTCGAGCACTTGTGTGAAGAATGTCGCACCGTGCGCCGCAAGTGCGCCGGACGGGCATGAACCCCTATGCGGTGCGCCAAACGAACGAATTTAAAGCGCGTTTGACGGTTGCTAATGGCCATAATATTTGTAATATGTTTGCTTTCTTCCTGCCTGAGTATGCCGAGATAATTTCAGACACACCGTTCAGGCACAGATTTTGGGCGTAAGTAAAAGCTCGTCCAAAAAGGCTTAGCGAGGAGTAGGGGACGCTTGTTAAGGCCTCCGTCGTAGCTAGCCGATCTCAGCGTTTGCGAAAACTTAATCTTTTATCAGCATAAAATTTCAGTGGGAGATATATGATGACACGAGGAAGACATCATAGTAACTTTTGTGCAGTGGTGAGGTCGAATTTATTGCGTTTAAAAGTTCATGCGTAAACGCTGGGCTCAACTTTGATACCATGTGAGGATGCGGCTTGCTTTTCGCCCAATGAAGTAACAAGAAGCGGCTGTTTAACAAACAAAATACGTGTAAGGCTCCAGATGAACAAATTTCAGTTCTAGTTCATTGGTACTAGACGGGATTATTGAAATTGAGCTCAAACATGCACTCGTGGGGTGAGTGACTAAGCCACTACTTACTACGTTTGCATACGCACGCACAATATGCGGTGTTTCGGGAACCAAGGAAAGTTCCCCGGTCTTTGTTTTGTATCGCTCGAGAATGAGTGTATTGTACGTTCGTTAAAAGTCAGATAATCGAAAACGCAAGCAGCGCGTTCGGTCGCGGCGTGATAGCATGAGATGCAGCTACTCAGTCGAAACCGAAACTGAGTGGCCAACTAGTTCTCAGAGTGCACTGCGTGGTATTTTGCCGCGATGGGGCGCGTCGGTTTTGGAAGAAGTCCATTGTCGGAAATTAATTCCCCGTAATGGGGTTGGAATGGAATGGGGATGACTATTTCAGAACATTAGGAAAAAAAAAAGGAATCATCATGGCCTCCGAGATCCCGAAGGCACGCGCGCTTCGGGATCTCGGAAGCCATGGAATCGTACTTGTGGTTCTAAGTTTTAATAGTAGGTAGCGCAAGCTACCCCCAAATATAAAAAGTACAGCAGTATTTATTTATCTATTTATCTACTCATTCTTTTATTTATCTATTTATTGTTGTAGCAACGGCCAATCCAATCCAGCATCCAAACCAAATTACGAATCCAAATCGCCCTGTACTGCGGAGAAGCTAGAGTAGCGAATTCTGCGGCTGGGTAGAGGCGTGCACGGCAGCACCCGCGTAGCACCGGCACTTCGGGCGGTGCTACTAGCCTACCACCTACGAGAACAGAAGTAACGTAACGTTGAGAAGTAACCATGTACTACTACTGAGCCGGGACGGAAAAACAGCATCGAAAAACTCGTACTCACGGTAGCGCCGTAGCGCGATCCACCTGTGTGATGCAAGAGCAACACCGACCAGCGCAAGAGTAACCCCTTCGTTGTGCCCGCTTCCCTAGGCGAAGCGTTCACCATTCATCTGCGGCGCAATGTCCTGCACAAAGAAAACAGTGCTGATGCTAGTAGTCTTTATACTCGTCTCTGTGCTAGTCGCCCGAATACAGGACGCTATCGAAGTCGAAGAACCGTGGACGGTTCGTCCGGAGACAGCGTCAATGGACGTTGTTCTTGATGACCGGTATCGGCATGTCATGCACTTCGTTCAGGTACGATGAAGGGGTTGTCGCCCCCTTCCGTTCGTTTTACTCCTATTCGTGTTGGGCACGGCAGTATCAGCCGAAAGCTAACCGTATGGTACGCTGTTCTTAATTTGAACGGGGCAGGACTTTTAACATTTGACTGGCAGCAGTTGGGGAGTGTCTGTACAGTATTAGTAATTCCTAACTCTGTAGACAGCTGCAGAAGTGTCTCTTACTGGGTCGTGTCCTTCCGTTTTAGTCTCCTATTTCGCTGTTTGGTTTGATTTTTAGCAGTGTAGTTGTGTGTCACTTGGTGCCCCACATAGGTGATCTGGCAGTTTGTAAAGACAGTCGATATTAAAAAGACTATTACAGAAGCTTTCAAAGGCTAACCGTATTCTGAAATAAACTCAGTTTCTGTTAGCACAAATGACAACAAACATAAACATGTCATAGGACAACTCTGACTTTTTGAATTCAGGAGCAATTGTTTGCGAGGCAGTTTAGTGATAATGTTATGTGAGCTGCCATGCTGGATGTTGCTGGTGCCTTGTTGCAGTCATTCGGCAGTGAGTCACTGCGTACGAAAGTGAATCAACCAAGTGATGGATGAGTGTCACATGAATATGTCTTTCACAAAGACAATCTGTACAGACAACAGAAAGAGTAGAGAAGAGACAGAAATAAGGGATTGCTTTTTGTCTGCGGCATAAAGACTTGTAGCGTTTGTTAGCTACAAGGTTTAACTCCTTGCCTGCATGGTATTCTGTAGCAATTGTGTTTTTGGGCGCATTTGTGTTGACGCTCGTGAACTATTACAACTAAGATTTGACTAAACCATTTCTCTGCAGACAGACCATCAGGCTTGTGTCATGGTATTTTCCAACCTAGAAATGCATTAGTAACGGCACAATTCATATGGCTCATTCGCAGCTCTTAGCGAGCACATTCGTGGCCTTGCTTCTTTCTTGCCTGCTCTCAATTCTCTTTTACCGTCTTTTCAAACCGTAATGCGAGATGCTGCGTTGCTGCCTTTGCGGCCTTTTTAATAGTGATCAAAGCTTGAATACGATTAAGGTTTTTGACCACATGCAGGTGCTGCACTCTTCGTTAAGGGCTAACAGAAACTTTTTTTTTTAATGCGAAAGCATTAATTGTCTCATGGAGTAAGTTGACGTCATCAATTTGAAGCGCAAAAACCGCACATAGTTTCCCCGATCCTTTGGTTCTATTGGCTGGCACGCGTCGACGGGGCTTCCATTGGCCGCTGCGCTCGTCAGTTTCCACGACTGCTTACCCCATGGTGCTGCGTGACCATCAGCACGCCCTTGCTCCCCTGGGCATGGAGCATCCAAGGTCACCGTGCCCAGAGGAGCACACGCGCTGACCGGCGACGAAAAGTACGCAGCAGATGAAAAAGGGAGCGGACAAGTGGCTTGCATGCTTTCGCATTCACAACTCGTAGGGAATGCTTAGGTGTACCTCAATCTTTTTTAATCTTTCAGGTGACAGACACGCACCTGAGTGTTCTGACAGACCCAGGACGAGCAGTGGATCTGAAGGAGTTTATCCGTGACACCATCATGAACGTCATCAAACCACCTATTGTGGTCATGACAGGTAGTAAAGGGTCCACCTTATCTCAAAGATCATTCCATCGAATGTTTTGACAGACGGCAACCGCCTCGCAAGCTACGCTTCAGATTATTGGCACTTCACAGCCGTATCAACGCTTTGGGTCAGTGTTGCCAGTTATCTAAAGCTTTATCTGGAATCGCAGGAAACGCTTTTCCATCTTCCAGGATTGTCAGAACAGTCTGCGACGGAGCAAAGCAATGCCTTCTGAGCTTTCCAATACCCTATCTGGGACTCAGATAGTTGCATTCTCTAATGGTAACAATCGCCAAATGCGCCAGTGCCGCAATGACGGCACTAGGGTCACTGTATGGGTTCGCAGAGTAACGAAACACCGAAGGTTCGTTCTAGAACCGAAGCGCGGTGCTGAAACCAAAACCATGGCGCCGCCATCTTAGGTCCATGCTTCGACGGAGTTATGAAGGTAATAGTGACATGCATTGGAGTATGTTGAAAGAGCCTGGTTTATTCCGCAATACGCGGAATGAACCAGCTGTAATTGGCACTTACCTTATGAAGCTTGCTTGTTGCAGTGGGCTCGAAATCTTTCCGTTTTGCTATGGCTGGCCAAGCCTTCTTCCTCCTTCTTGCGGTTGCGTTCTTTCCAAACGGGATTAGGAAGAGTCACTTTCCATCCTCCGACCTGCTGCTGCACCCAAAAGCACAACAAGCAGGCATTGTGCCACTAAGTACACAATTTCCTTGTTTTTGACGTCGGTAACCGTGTGGAAATGACGGCGCGTAAACGCGCGTTTCATGAGCATTTGATTGCTGGACCCGAGATGGCGGCGATTCGAGCCGCTTGAAGCGCTGATGGAGGTGAGTCTAGCGGTGCTTGTGTCACACGATCGCTACCGTCCAACGATGATCACCAAGCAAAACATGATCAGCTAGAGTGAAAATGTTGTCGGCAAAACGCAAAAAGAAAAAACGTTCAGCCTTTCCACTCTCGTGAAGAAGGAAGACCAGTGAAGCTTTACTTTCTTTACCCGGAAAGAATGTGCGGCCGACCCATCGTGAGTCCAAACCAAAACTGATAAGAGCGTAGGAGGGTAGAAAACGGCGCGCAAAACAGACGAGGACGAAGAAACAAACGTGACAAGCACTGCGCTCAATACATGTGCTTCTTCTTCGTCGTCTGTTTTTCGCGCTGTTTCCTATAATGAATTCCCACCAACGTGCCCACCTATCCATTCTTCTATTATAGCTGGAAAGGTTGCCGCCATCTACGAGCGATGGCGGAAACCATACTGGTTGTGTGCTTGCCGCCGTCGGACACGATCCTGGGGAACCTAGCCCTTAACAGCCCCGCTGCAAAAAAAGGTGTTACTCTGGCTGGGAACCCATACAGTGACTCTAGGTGGCGCCCACGGAAAAATGGGGGAAAGGAATGCCAGGACTCCGAGCGTAGATTTGTTGGCTATAAGTGAAACAATGGTTTCAATGTTTTAGCAAATAGCCCCATTGTTGCCCACACTTTGTAGAAATTGACTGGATTGCCTATAACTACTCAAACCAGTATCAATGGACGAGGGCACTGCCAAGTTCACTTGCATGTGATGTGGTCTTTGAGGCCCGTGGTGTGAAGTGTAAACAGTCGACCGTTTTCATAGTTGTGCTGCTCGCTCGAATATGTCCCAGAGGCTCGAGCGCCACCACGAACAAGGATGAAACTGTAGGCCGGTTGCCATGCTGGTGCAGAATGCACACCCTACCATGCCGGTAGCCATTTTGACTACTTTACCTAAAATTGATTCGCTAAAATGAACATTTTAGCAAATTACAAAAATATTTGGCAAAGTTTGTTCACTAAAATTAATGCCTCCCAGCAGGGATGGGAAAAATACATGCAAGTATGTATCGAAATACAAATACAAAATACTTCGTCAAAAATGTATTTAATTACAAATGTAATTACATTTCCCAAATAACATTTAAGTACAAGATACAAATACAACCAAATGTATTTGGTCTCCTCCAAATACTTTTCCGAATACATTCCTCAAAATTTGCGTCAGCGACTTCAGGGCACCCACAACGGGTTTCTGGGTATCTCATTTTAATCTTGCATAGCACATTCGGGAGTTAGTGTGCGTGGCTCTAGTAACGTAATAGAAATATAATCACAAAAAAATGTAATCAGCTTGGACGTAATAGGTGAAAAAAGTACAGAGCTTCAAGCAGCTTGTTTTGTCGATTACATTTTGGTATAGACCAACAAAGAACCGAGACCACCAAGATGCGCAGCACTAGCTAGGGAATTTTTTATTGTTGCAACTCGCACCAGTTACTAAAATCTGGATGACCCGCGCATTTAGAATGTTGGTGGCAAAAACATTGATGGAAATTAGGCTGGAAAGCATCACAAGTTGTCACAGGCACATATTTAGCCAGTCTGCCTCTGAACGTCGATTTCGTCACTATTCTTGCCCTGGACTAGCACCATAATCACAAAGTCACTAAACGCTTGTGCTTGATTGAGAGATACCACATTCGGTGCAGAACATAGTTTTCTTCCTGCTCTGGACACGTCTTAGGATGAGCAAAACGAGTCGTGACAACAAATTTGAGGGATGTATTTTCGCCCACAAAATTGTATTTAATTACAATTGTATTTGAAATACACACATCAAATACATTACCCAATTTGTAATTAAATACAAATACAAAATACACAAAGTATTTGAAATGCATATTTGAAATACTTGTATTTGAAATACTGCCCATCCCTGCCTCCCAGAAGTATAGACCATTTCAATAATTGTCTTCTGCATGCTGTCATCTCTTTCTGCGCATTCTGAGCATGTACTGTAAGTAGCCCTCTTCTGCAAAATATGAGAAACTGGGCATGCATTCAGAACCCACTGACTCTGAATTTTGCACCTGAGCAATAAGTGCTGGAAGTGTGCGCACGGTGTAGGACTCACGAAAGAAGAAATGGAAAGCTTGGTGGCATGGGAGGAACAAAGGTCACAGGTTTAGACACCCTCACGAGTGGTTGCCTTGGTCTCTGTATTTTGTGACACCCAGAAGATTTACTATTGCCTTGGATATGTTAAGAAAGATCACGAGCCGTACTCACCAAGTTTGACAATCTATCATTTGTTTACAGCTGGCAGTGTGCCTAAGCAGTTGTGAGGTAAAGAGAGAGCTGTGACTAACAAAGAAACATATTTCGCTGCGATTTTAATTTTGCAAATATGACAAATTGCAAATAATACAAAAAGACTCTTGTGCGAAGATGTCACCCATGCCACTTTATAAATGTGTCCTGTTTGACATATTTATCCTTGATCGTGAAACTTAATTTGCACAAATTGTTCTATAAAGTGGCATTTTGGCGAAATCCTAAAATGTTTAAAACCTATTAATATATTACCGTTTACTCTGTGTGGAATAAAGGAAGATGCTTATCACCAGTTGATCCTTAATGGAGGAAAGCTCCTGCATTGAGACCTATTTAAAGCGAACACCTGCCGCAAAGTTAAAAGAGAACGCCCGCCCCCAAGGGATCGCCCACCCCGTTTTCCTTGCTAAATATTTGTAACATAAAAATTCTAAAACATTGACCACCCCCCGATTCCTGTCGAACATCACAGAATGTCTGACGGGAATTCACAAATGCCGTCACACAATGTCTTATCACATTTTGGGGGGGGGGGTTTCGACCCCTCGAACCCACCCTCTGCTTGCGCCACTGCCTCCTCGGTTACCTGGGTTTGAGTTCGGCTGCTCTCTTTTAAATTCTCTGCAGATGTCTCTTTATTCTGCTTTCATGTGCTAGTCAGATATCTTTCATACCCATTTGAGGAACTTGAAACAAACTTTTTTTGTGCCCATAACATATGGTGCTTCCCCACGAATGAAAGGAACGTCATAGCAGATGCAGTGTCTGTTTGATTTTGCTGACTTCCGTGAAAATGTTAGATGATTGGAGCAGGATTGCAGCTTTGGTAAGCCTTGCATTGGAGACATTGCGGGGCCTGTCTTCCGCCTGACAGGCGACATTGCAGACTCGGTGCGGCCTGGCTTTCTGCAGTCGGGGCAGCAGCGTGAAGAGTGGCAGCTGTACTGGAGAGCCATCTACGAAACTGGGGTCACTCGCCAGCTGGCTTGGCTCGACATACGGGGAAACCACGGTCAGTAGTCGCCTCCCGGGGTGGCACCAGTGTTCTGAGGTCAAGTCGCTCGCAGAAGTTGGGTAGGAAGAGAGTGTTACTTCCGAAACGATGCATGCTCTGCTTCATGCTTGGGCAGATTAACTAAAAAATGTAATTTTATTAGAACTGCTTTCTTCAAAAGACAATTATGATCACAATTAGAACTGCACCCCTCATCATGTTATAATTATAATTACTGCTGCAGACAAAAGAATTCATTGCAACTACCGTAAAGTACCAAGCAAAAGTTCACAGAAAAGTTGGAGGTAACCACAAGAAAACTGTGATGGGTGCTTGCTAGGCTTGAAAGCAGAAAAGCCGGATGGGCACACGGTAGGCTGCACCCTTGTTTCATCCGACGGACTGCTACACGGGCGGTGCAGGAGTCGGGACGAACACTTTGTAAAACGAAAAGAAAACAATAAATTATTATTATTATTATTATTATTATTATTATTATTACTTTAATTTTAAGGCAGTCGCTTCTGTCAAGCCTGCTTTGCACTGGCGCTCTTGTGCTAAGCTTTACCGCTTTACGCTGATGCGCGCATGTAGAGCATTAGTGCTTTGCATTGGCATCTCAGAGAAGCAGCTGACAGGAAGGAGCACTGCATTTAACTTGGTGGGCTCAAAAGTTTGCTGGGGTGGGTGCATCATATGTCTTTTGCTCGTAATTCAAACGTTTCAGAAGTATGTTGTGGCCACTTATTGTAACATAGACACATGGTACTCGGTAATTTACGGAATGCAGTCTGTTTTAAATTTAAACGCAATTACTACTTTTTATTCCACCACTTTGGTACACAGCTTTGGTAAAATTTATTTGACACCATTTATTCTGCAGCAACATACACTGTGTGCGGCAGTCAGCACGGACAAGGCATAGCTGGTTTTTCCTGTTTTTCTTTTGCAGCTAAACAGCGTTTATTATAACTAATGAAGGGATGAAATGTGCCCATACAGGTCACACAGAGCATACCACGGCAGGTGGGAGATTGTATTCACTGCTGCAGCTTAAGTATCAGTCTTTTTGAGGAGTCGAGACAATTTCCTTGTCTATTCATTGAAGTTTCTCTGAAAATCGCTGGTTAGCTCACTATAAGCTTTGCGACAAAGAGGTCGTGCCTGCATTTCTATGCGTGCAAACTCTAAATCCAAATATTCTCATTATCCGGAAAAGGGTCGCTTAGATTGTGGGTAAAATATTCAATGTACTTATTAAAATCTATTTTTTTAAATTTTCTGTTTTCATCCTGACAACAGAAGAATAGGCCTTCTGGCTTGTGCTGTGACTTTGACACTTGCTCAAATGTGTGCAAGCACTTGTATGCAAATGCTTGTATGCAAGTGCTCATGCACGAGTACTTGCATGCAAGTGCTTGTGCAAGTACAGTGCACTATCAAAGCCAGCCCCTACACGCTGGTAAGAGCTCTGGAAATGATCTTCAGTATTAAGGAATTAGTGCAAATTTGTTACAATTTAAATTTAGTAATTATTGATAACAGTAATTAAGTTACAAATATTTTTAGTGAAAATAGTGGATTACTATTCAAGAACGATGGGTGTAGATGGATGGTCATTGACACCCCTACATGCAACTTGTGGCAGTGACAAAGGCCTTTCGAGATCTTTTCGTCCATTGCTTAAAATGGGATGTGAAAAAAAGTTTGTCTTGTTTTTAGTCATCAAACATGTCCACCGTTTTCTCCTGTACATCACACATTTCAAAACCTTGCCTGCTCTTTCTAAAAAATGTTTCCACGCATCAGGTACATTTCCATTGGATTCACCAAGCCATTCATAATGGCTGTGTAGGACATCTTTGTATGTTTATTAAAACACTCAGCTGCTGATGTATATGCTATTCGTTCTGAGGAACCCACTAGCAGACAGAAGCATCCTATTGCTCTGTGCCAGTGGCTACACTTGTACAAAACTTGGTCAGTTTGGAATGTCCTTTGTTGTTTAGTACCATATGAGGAAGTACACAACATGGCTGCTCCAATACATTTGGCTAGTGTGGCTCGCTCATGTTATAGCATTTGGCCGCTTTCTTTGTCCTCTTTGCAGACAACCTCAACTTGGCCTCATTTGGGAGTGACCACAACTTTTACCGGTAAGGGGTCGGTGGGATTTGTGAGTCTGGTGCTATCTGCCTGTGCCTCAAAAATGGCAAGAAGTCTGTCTGCATATGAGTGGTGGATATAAAAGTGAAGCTCTGATTAAAGTTTACTGCAAGATGCAAGAAAGGTTTAATAACTTTTTTCTGTTCTTAATCGGCCTTTATTCTTTTTGTTCATCTTTTGTCTTTTAAGTATTCCATTCCTGTTTATTGTTCGAGTCTGCAAATGCGAACTCACCGAGGCACTATGGCAGTTTATATTTGACTACTGTCCACAGACTTTGCAATGCAATACAGCTTGCATTGTAACTGTACAACTTATGACTTGCTGCTTTTGTATGCCATCATGGGGGGGAAACTACCTCACTGTTTCCAGTGTGTAGCCACAAGAGTGGTAGTAAGTAATAATATTTCCATCTCGGCTCAGTAACGTCAATAATCTTTGACATTACCGGGCCCAAAGTTAACATAGTTTCGTACCACTGGGGGTGCAGGTAGGTTCCGGACGTATAAACAAGTTGACTGTTGATATTAAAAACACAGGTTATAGTCAGTGGCAGGTTAAGAATTCGGTAGAAGCCCCACTTCCAGCGTGGCCTTGTCGCCTTCTGCCGTGCTTTGATTGCGCACGTGCCAAAGTGTGATGAAAGGCTTGTGCTTGAGGAGGAGCATCTACCGAATTATTAACCCGCCATCAGCTATAGGTGGCGCAATCCACCACCCAATTTAAAAGGTTGACCGTGTGCCTCCGTCCATCTGTCGGGTCTGTGATGCTCGCACGTACATGCAGGGTCTACTCCGTTAGGGGCCGCGTCCACCCCCATTCATACTCGTACACCCACCGGGAGGGCGCAGACACCTACAGCTTTATCGCCATTGACACTTGCACTGATCCTGGCATCAAGCGGCCCTTCAACTTCGTGGGATCTTTGCCCGAGGCAAGCCTGCACCTGTATCAGTGTTACATGCTAGGGTGCAGTACTGTGTGGTTGCAAAACATATGCAGGATGTGGGTTAGCAGTGCCTACACTTGTGGGTGACCCGTGTTTGATGGTTTCCGCAAATCCCGCCATTGCACAGGACCAACTGAGTGCCCTGCTGGAGATGAAGGAGGAGAGCAGACGAAGCAACTTCACCGTCTGGTTTGGCCACCACCCGACATCCAGCGTCGCCTCCGTCGAGATCAGGGAACTCATGAGGTATGCATTTTACTTTATTTATTTATTTATTTTAAAATACTTCAACCTCGTTGGGGATATTGCGGGAGTGGGGGAAAGAATTGTGCAAAACATATAACAAAATGAAACAATGATACGAGAATAGAAAAAAAACTGTAATGAATGCAAAACGCTATCAATAAGTATCAATGGCAGACAAAAATAGGAGTGGTAATAAACTTACATTGCTGGGCGATGAATTCCATATTTAAATAATAGGGGGAAAATACAAACAGATTTGTATTTAAACAAATCTGTTTGTGGATGGAAAGGTGAAATATTTAGTTGGCGGTACCTTCTTGGAAGAAGATTCATCTGCAAAATTTAAATACATATTTAATGATGCAAAACATGAGTTAATGAAACTGTGTGGAGTTTTGAAGCGTTTGGTGTTACAATGTTTCGAAAGTAGGGAAAGGTGGAAAATCTGTCATGCCGGTGGCAGATAAAACATACAACTTTCTTCTGGATAGCTTCAACATTGTTGAAATCAGATTGCTTGTGAGGGTTCCAAATTACAGAGCCGTATTCAGGGATTTACCGAATTAAAATTTGATATGTTAGGAGCTTTGTACGTGTTGGAGCTGAACACAAGGTATGCCGCAGGTATCCTAGTCTTTTAAGGTGCCTTGTTACAGATGAAATGAATGTGTTTGGACCAGGACGTGCCATGCGTGAAAAGATCCATAGGTGCTTGCATTCAAACACCCTTTCCAGAAAAATGTTATCGTATGAATAGGAAAATATGTGAGGGAACGAGCGCCCAGAAAAGGAGATAAAAAGGGTTTTGTGGAAATCTGTTGGCATTTGCCAGGTGTTTCCTCACTCGCACAAGCTGGCAAAGGAATTCTTAAGATGAATAGGATCCTTAGATTAATTAATTGTGTGATAGAAAGCACAATCGTCGACATATAGACGTCTCTGCTTCCACAGCGACGCGTCCACTGTGGAAGCGTCATCCCCCTGAGCCTCGTAGTTTAGTTCAGTTGTCCGCCTCATATTTTCATTTGTGAGTGCATGCAATGAAAGGACAGTAGTACTCCTATAAAAAGGTGTGGTGGCATAAGTAACATAAGCTACCACTAGCGCAAGTGTAGGTACCACATGTTGTTTATCAACCGTTATGCGACAACACTGCTTCTAGAGTTTTTTTTTATATAACTTGTGATTAAATTTAAATAAAATTTACATGGCTTATTGGCCGTTAGAATTTGACTACAAATATGTGCTTGGTTTGGTGTAACCTAATTAGTTCTGTAAATATTGAAAATTTAAATTGCAAAGATTATGAAAAGGGTTAAGACAAATTGAAATTTTGAAATCATAAAATAAACACATATCAATAAACTAAAAGGTCTGTGGGATCCAAAAAGGCATAAATGAAAGCTCTCTATGATTTACAGTAGGCTTTTCAGGACACTTCTGAATTTTCCAGATTCAAAATGATTTATTACTGGATGCCTAAAAGGCACCTAAAAAAAGCCCGATAGCATATTTAATATATTTATACCTCTCATTGCATATGTACCACATACCCCTACCACAGAAGGAAAAAATGACGAAGGTTGAATATGTGCAAGTGGAGATATGGCTCCCATAGAATAGCAAAGTGTTTAAATAGTTTACTCAGGAATTATAGCAAAAGACATCCAAAAACCCATTTTACTTTGTTTCTAAGGAAATCTTTCAAGATAACAAAGACTTATTTCTCGAAAATCCTTGAGGACAAGATAAGTGCCTGCGAATATTCTAAAAACACATTCAAAAATGTGTGTTTTTAGTATTTTCTGTTTTAAAGAGTAGTGTCTCCCCTTAAGTTTTCTCTAGATTAATCGAAGAAATGTGTGGTGATGATGGCTGAACAAAAAAGTGACTTGGTGAAAAGCACCATAGTCAAATCTGTTGTTGCTTACAATATGTAATTAAACTCATTTGTGTGGCAAAACTTCACAACGTGATAAGAGTTTTTTGTGTGTGTACGAGTAAATTCCTGCTTGCACATTTACAAACTCTTGTCCAATACGGGATACGACCAGAGCTGTAAACGAACTAATTACAAATAAAGCTACTGTAATTAGTTACATTCTCTGTAACTAAATGCTTCTCAAATTACATTGAAATGTTTGTAACTGTATCTGTAACTTAATTACATTTTCGTGTAATTTCTAACTTGGTTTAGTTACTTGACAAAGTTCTTGATGCTCTCATTGATGCTCTCATTGGGTGGAGGCAATGTTGTTTGTGGAAAACTTTCATTTAGCCTGGCAACGGTGTTCGTCATCGGAACCTAGTTTAGGCCAAGTGGTGCAAGCTACCGCCCGGCACAAAGGTGCCATTTTTCTATGCATCCTTTCAAAATAAATGTTAACTAAATCAAGTCGGTAATCACAGCACCTATGGCCATTCCTCACGCAATATGTTACAAACAACTGAAACTGTTATGTAACTCGGTTACATTTTTCAGTGACCAGGGATGGGCAAAATACATGCAAATATGTATCGAAATACAAATACAAAACTTCGTAAAAAATATATTTAATTACAAATCTAATTACATTTCCAAAAAAGCATTTAAGTACAAGATACAAATACAACCAAATGTATTTGGTCTCCTCCAAATACTTTTTCAAATACATTCCTCAAAATTTGCGTCAGCGACTTCAGGGCACCTGCAACGGGTTTCTGGGTATTTCATTCTAATTTTGCATCGCACACTCGAGAGTTAGTGTGGGAGGCTCTAGTAACGTAATAGAAGTATAATCACAAAAAAAAAAATGTAATCAGCTTGGACGTAATAGGTGAAAAAAGTACAGAGCTTCAAGCACCTTTTTTTGTCGATTACATTTTGGTATAGACCAACAAAGAACCGAGACGACCAAGACGCGCAGCACTATCTAGAGAATTTTTTATTGTTGCAATTCGCACCAGTTACGAAAATCTGGACGACCCGAGCATTTAGAATGTTCCAGGCAAAAATATGGATGGAAATCAGGCTGGAAAGCGCATCACAAGTTGTCACAAACACTTATTTAGCCAGTCTGCCTGTGAACGTCGATTTCGTCACTATTCTTGCTCTGGACTAGCACCGTAATCATAAAGTCACTAAACGCTTGTGCTTGATTGAGAGACACTACATTCGGTGCAGAACATATTTTCTTCCTGCTCTGGACAGTGACACTAAATTTGAGGGATGTATTTTCGCCCACAAAATTGTATTTAATTACAATTGTATTTGAAATACCCACGTTTTAGTATTTAAATACACACATCAAATACATTACCCAATTTGTAATTAAATACAAATGCAAAATACACAAAGTATTTGAAATACGTATTGCAAATACTTGTATTTGAAATACTGCCCATCCCTGTCAGTGACTAACCCTAACGAGTTACAATTGTATGCATGTAACTGCTACTTAATTACATTTCAGCTCATATGGCTGTAACTGTAATTTTGTTACTTTTGACCGGTAACTTGTATAGCTCTTAACACTACGCAGCACTGAGTCTGCCTCTGATGCCTGTTCAATTTCGTCTTCCAAACACACACCGTAGGCACAGCGGACCCTACCTGTGCGGACACTTCCACACGTTTGGCGGACTCTTCCGCGAACTCTACCTTCTTCAGCCGACGGGGGCCCTGGAATTGGAGTTGGCGGACTGGAAGCACGGACGCACGTGAGTCGCAGGCTTCCGCCATATATCTGTCATAGTCGCAGGACTTGCTGCCATCTTGGATGAGAACTGATGCCCCCCAATTTTCGTAACATTCGGAGAATACGCAAAGGACATATCTTCAGATATCGTTGACCTAAGGTTTGTCCATCCCCCAGCTTTACGTGATTATATCCGAATTCTTAGTGGGCGCTTGCTCAGGATTTTACTGTAGGTCTCTTTTTAAACATGGCAGATTAATGCATCAATCTGTCCAATCACTGAAAACAGTGTTGAAGAGAAATAAACTGTAAATTTAGTTACTCATTAAAGTACAGTTTGATAAGTTTTTATTCTAAATGGGAACCGTCGTGTCCACTTAATATAAACATCCTGCTGTAGAGTACCTAGGCATGTGCAAATCGGGGATTTTTAATTCAAAGCGAATAGTGGTTTTGGCTAAATATTTTTTATTTGAATATCAAGTAGTTTCTCCACACCTTTCAATAGGGAGTTTTAGAAAGTCGCTTTTGGAGGCACGCGGTTCCGAAATCGTGAACGGCGCAGCTGCTCCATTCGGCTAAACCGTATGCAAAATTTAACGCTTTTAAGATAATCGTAAAACTCGCACAACTGCTTCAACGATTGTGATGATTGCATTTCACCGGCAATGCCATCTCGTAGTAAACATCTGAAACATTCCGCCGCGTGCAAATCTGTGTCTCGCGTTTAGCGGCACACGGTGTTGTAAACAAGACGGCCGAAATAGCATTTACCATTCAGAATTTTAAGAGCTCCGAAGCTAGATCAAGTGAAATATGTCCGAACGACCACAAAGGTAGGCAATGTGTCTCTCTCCTCTTGGACTTGAATGATTGTTCACGTGGTGTGCTGTAGAACCATTTCGTCTGCTTGCCGTTTCCACGGCAGCTTGTTAGCCCGGACATTGAGAATTCAATCACACGCATAGTTTACAGCATTCACGACCGTTTGCCATTTCTAGTAGTCTTTGAAATGATTTGGTTTGTCTTCTCAGACGCAGCAGGATCGCAAATCACCTCCTGCCGTGGTAAGCCTAACGCTCGTCTGGGCCCAACGTTACGAGAACAACTCAGTTGGGAAACTGCCATAGGAGCCTGCTTTGAAAAAGTAGCTCCGATCCGTACTCGAGAACTGAACGAGACGCGATCACAATGGCGCCATTTCTCTTGTAGCGGCCACTCCGGAAACTGCATGACTGCACGTACCGGTTCAGTCGAGACGCGCAAGGACCGGTGGCACCATCTCGCAGTAGCTATACAGTCGAACCTGGATATATTGAATTCAAAGGGGATCGTAAAATAGTTTGATATATCAAGAATTTCATATACGGAAATGTGTTAAGTTAAGCTCGAGTTGAAAGTTTCTGGCGTCTCTGCTAATACTGAAGGACGCAACAAACGGGAGCTTACCAAATACAGCATCCAAGAGCCGCTAAATACTGTAGAGCGTAGTTGGCGGAGACCGCAAACACCACCGCGCTTAAGGCCGAACCGCATGTAAGTGATTTAGCGAGCGACGGCGACAGCAACGAGGGTCAGCGACGAGCGACGGATATTTCTCACTGTCGCCCGTTGCGTCGCTTGGATTTTGGATTTCTAGGAAATGTCGCTCATCGCCTGGGTCGCTTACTCCCGTCGCTGTCATGTGATTGGCCTTGTAGTGCAACTGACCTAGCGACGGCGAAGCCGATCGCCGTCGCTTGTCTTGTCGCTCGCCAAATCGCTTGCATGCGGTTCAGCCTTTATACTTTACATGCGCACCTGGCCGGGACCTCCACACAGCATAAACTACAAAACACGAAAGTAAGAAAAAAAAATATAAAAGTAAAACAGAAAAGCGCGACGCATTAAAAAAATTATAAAAAACACTTAAAGGCCGACGACCAGACTAGAGATTCTGCAAGGCAGAAGATCCTCCTCACCACGGGGGAGGAGGATACAGGCAGCTGGGGACTGGGTACAAGGGGAGAGAGGAGGAAGCCAGGGAAAAGTGGAAAGTGCGAACTGGTCGTCGGTCTTTAAGAACTTAAGCAAACAACAAAAACGAAAGCTCGCAAAATTCAGACAGCAAAAAAAGAAAGGCAAAAAGAAAAAACGGGCAAAGTAATAATGGCAAAAGGAAAAGGTAAGGCGTTCAAAGTGTGATTCCACTATCTTTGTTGTCAACATGCCCAACTTGCTGAAGACTTTTTTTGTTTTTTGTTTTTGCTCATTTTATTTTGGGGTTAGGGAGTCGCGCAGCATCAGCAGTGTTGGGGAAAGGGCGTAGGCTATTGTTCCAACAGTGAGCACTCCCTGCCCTTCCTACATGCGTGCACGTAGGGAGAGCAGGGAGTGTTCTTCCTACACATTATGAACATTTCATCCTTAATGCAGGGTGTCCATATTAACGGGAACCATATTAACGAGACATTACTTTATATAGACAATTTTCGGAGACCAATTTATCCCCATACAATTCTGCTTCGTTATTATAAAAGTTATAGACAGCTAGATTAGGAAAAGACTGGTGCAGTTTTCTGTCGTTATTATGGGCACAAGCTTTGTAAAACTGTTCACAAACTTGCACAAAAAAAAAAAAAAGGCTTCTTACTAAGGTTTTTGGGTCAGAGAGTACACCAAAAGCCTTACTATTATTTGCCCTTCGTGAGCAATAGGTAAGACATGGACATCGAACTGTGATTTTTGGGGGCTTTCCAGCAAAACACATCACTTGCCACTCTCTCCCATGTGTGTCACGATAGCAGATGACAAACTTGAAGAACGTTCATAGGTTGTTGGTACCCCTTGTGCATAAAAGTCAAGGCTGGACACTTCCCTTGCCACTTAGGAGATAAGACTTTGTCAGGCATGAAGCAGCTAGAGAGCATGGCACGAAGGCTTGTGCGGTCACGTGGAAAAAAACAAACATTGGAAAGAGTCAGATCTACAGTTGGATTCTCTGATTTTGCTAGCGTGATCCAGCCTCGGTGAAATGAATTATGGTGGACACAATAACCCACTTTTGTCCATTCTTGTCTTATTAGAGTTTTCAATGTTATGCATAAGTTTTAGTCAAAGGCATTTCCAACAAAAATACACTGACTTAAATTGGAGGTAATTTTTTTGGCACCGATGCTTTCTCATACCCTTACCTTCTATGGTGGCATTGATACCTCGACAAAACTGATGTTTTCTTTTGCTCGATGCTTGATGTCATTGACTTTCTTTCTTTGTGCATAATCTCCAAGCTGGTCGTCTGCTCTTTGACGCAGGAGAATGTGCAGCCCAGGCATACTGTCCTTTCCTGTTCTGGTCTATCTTCAACCTTGTGTTCATTTGGCACTGTTTTCTCGTTCTAGGTACCGTCTGGCTGCCGTAGACCATGGCCTGTTCAGCTTTGTAGACGTCACCTATAGGCAGTGGCCGATCATCCTGGTAACTAACCCCAAGAGTGCCCTGTTGTCCATGCCGTCCATCGAGCCACTGGGACGCATGGCTAGGTCGACACACGTCAGGTGAGTGCCACCTTGATGCAAGAAGCGGATGCTACGTTAGGCCCACCTCAGATGGGCAATTTTTCCGGCAATTCCGGGCATACCGGCGAGTTGTCCTTGAGGTCAGGAATTCTCAAACCTTTTGATCTCGAGGAACGCCCAGCTCTCTTCATTGATAGCCGAGGAATCCTTTCCGGTCACCACACGAAATCACTAAATCGGTGCGAGGCCTATGGGGCTTGTAAACAATAGTGCACGTACTAGGGAGTGTGTGGCACATAATTGTGCATTAAGGGATGACTCAGATCGTCTAGAATAGTGCATAAGCTGGAAGAACATTTTACCTGGAGGTAGGGGCAGTTGACGAAATTTGGGAGCTGGGGGAACGCTCGAGGTTAACCTGGGGAACCCCCGGGTTCTTAGAAGCCCGGATGGCCGCGGTCTTTCCAGTGACACACGGCCCACTGCTACCCAAATAAAATAAGCTCGCTTTAGAAAAACGTTGCCGCGGCGCACACCAAAAGTGCAAAGGGAGATGTCTGAAAAAACTGCATCAACACGTGGATCCTCTTGCCGTGTTACTTATTGCACATTTTCATCGTCCCTTGTTTCATGCCTCTGTAACTGCATTAAAGTTCCTTTGCATTCTCGTGCATATTGTGCTTTGTATACCGTGTCCTAAATATTGCATATTGTCATCTCCAGAGCTACCATTGTCACTAGCTTTTAGCCCCGTGTGAATGTGCAAAACTCTAATGTGCTTCGATTTATGCCCGGGGAGTGTTCTCTGTAACTGTTATTTTGTAATGTCGTAATGAGCGACATGGTTAATTTTAAAATTAAGGTATATGTATTTATCCACCCTCAATTTCTTTTTTTTTTTTTTTTTAGTTATTTTCCTCCCCTTGAGACAGCGACAGATCTCCAAAGCTGCCCCTTAGCCAAAATGTTTAGGGACCCCAGCCCTAGATCTCAAACTTTTGGATCTCGAGGAACCCTCATCTGGCTCAGATGAAATGCTAGGAACGCCTCCTCCTGTCCTCGACCTTGATGCAATAAAGGAGGGCAGTAGCTCACAGACTCTGCGAATAATACTGATGCACATGCTAGGGAGTTGTTTGGCTTATAGTTATACAGCGGTCAATGGCTCAGATCTGCTAAGATAGTGCTTAATTTGGGAAAACATATCACGTAGGGCTGGGGACGGTCAAGGAAGCTTGAAATCTGGAACCTGTAGCTCGCAGGAACCCAGCTATAGGACCCGCGATGCAATGTCTTATTCGCTTCTTTGTGACGCTTGGAGAGAGCAGAGTTTCTGACGCGATTCGTCCTTCCTCCGAAGGGTGCTGGTGTTCTCCCCGAAGCCCGTGGCGCGAGCCCGCTTCAGCGTGGACGGCGGAGAGTGGGCTTCGCTGCGGCACGTGAACGGCTCACCGCTGTGGGTGGCACCTTGGGCGCCCCAACGCTTCACCAACGGGCTGCACGAGCTGCACGTGCAGGTGACGGACGTGAACGGCACGGTGCTCGCCGAACACCGGACGGAGTTCTCGCTGGACGGTGCACGGCCGGTCTTTTCACTCGCCGTCCGGTTGCTCCTGCAAGGCGGCATCTCGGCGGTACGGCGGCCATTTTTCGCGTTGGCATCTTGTTTTCAGCTGGCGGTTTGTTTGGGGTGGGAGGCATAAAAAATATTAGTGCATAAATGTCTCGACAAGTCGAGGAGCATTGGGCTTCCAAAAAGAATTCCTTTTGTGCCGTATCTTCCGGACTATAGTCGGAAGGGGCAAATTTCGGTGGAAAGAACGAGATTTTCCCTCGATAGTTTGCACATGACGACTAGTAGTTCACATGTCAAATATTCTCGTACACAACACAGATTCACAAATGCCTGCTCTATTTGCTCACAAAGACGCTTGCATCATACAGAGGTCCCCATTAAAGCAATCTGTCATTTGCAAATTCAACTTGCATCTCGTCGTAAAAGCAAATCCTCGTATAGTCTGCACCACATAAAATTTCAGTCTTTTAACACATACAGGGTGTTTTTTTAAAGCTTAACAGATTTGTTAAAAAAACAAAGTCGCGAAAGCTACACTTTTGTGGTTTGTGCAGGTGATTTCTACAGCCAGGGGGACATGGTATGGGGGTCTATGTAATCGTAATGGCTAGTCAGCTAATTAAGTTAAATTTGTTAACTAACTTCATATGGTTCGAATCATAAACTTGCTGGGGTCAACGAAAACTGCTAAATTATTAATTTTTCGAAATACTTTGGGCGCTTGGGAAGAGTAGTACAATGCGCTAAAAATATCACTTGTGCCACAGGTACAAGGCTGAGGCTTCAATAAAAGACAGGAAAATTGCACGGCCGCATTATTGAATCAGTGGCCTTGCTCCTGCAGCACGAGTGGTAACTTGAGTGCACCACTCCGGTTCTTACGCACTCAAAGTCTTTCTTAAAATTGTTGATTTCGTGGTCTTCTATGATGCCGAGCAAATTTCTAATTGGAACCATATGCCTATTTTCACTAATTGAAAAGTTAACAAATTTTACTTAATTAGCCGACTGATCATTACGATTATCCCCCTATACAGTAAAATTCCGTTAGTTCGACTGTGGTTAATTTGACTTTTCGTTTAATTCGATTGTGTTCTAAAGTCCCGGCGAGGCTTATACATTTCTATGGGAGGAAATGTTTGACAGTTCGAACTCGGGAGGACTCCGCATCGGATAATTCGTCCCGAGCGAATGCATGCGAGCACACATTGCATGGCACCACGACAGGAAAACCACCAACGTAGGGCGAAACGCGGGTCCTTTGCTGCAAAACCGAACGTGCGCAAATATCCGCCTGCTCCTCTACGCCATTGAGACGGACCGTAGCACAACCAATCTGGCGTGAAGTAGCGCGGAGAACATAGCATGTGTTCATGCGCAGAGACAGCGCGCGCCATAGAGATCAGTAGGGAGTTTTAGAATAACGTACACAATTTTAGCGCACGCCAGCGCTAAATTTAGCACTTGCGTTAGCGCAAGTTTTGCAAGAGAGTTTTAGAATAGCATTTCTCTGCCGCAACGCAAAAGCTCAAGCATCTTGCGCTTGCAACACCACCAAGATACAGTCACAATTTTTATTTCACACACAAAATGCTGTAACTTGAGAAAAAAGAAGTTTTTTGGTCTTGAGTAACATTTTAGATTTGTTTAAACATGAGAATGCGACGCGAGCGGTCGGCAGGTCGTGTTCGCTTTCGTCGACTCGGCAAGAGAGGTCTCGTGTCGAGACCTCTCTTGCCGGTCTCGTATTGAAAATCACAGTTCGCACACTGTACCTCCGCTGCCTTCGCCAAGAAATGTTTGCGCGTCGCAAGCATCAAGGTGCCGGTCTCGTATTGAAAATCACAGTTGCGAGGATGCCGCCGACGTCGCACTCACGACACCGCCAAAGCGACCGCAGACATGGTCCTGGGAGCCGCCGTTTTTTTTAACTGTGCTCGTCTTGGCTTTAGCCAACTTCTCATCACGAATCCTCCTTGGAGGAGCGCAAGGGCTCTCTTGCGTACGCACGCAATTCCCAAAAAATAGCGCACGCAAAGCGCAAAACGTGGTTAGCAACCGGCGCATGCGCAGTGGCGACAACGCTATTCTTTGCGCACGCAAAGCTTTAACGTGTGCTATTCTAAAGCTTCCTAGTGGCACGCGCTCTCAAAGCGCTTTTCTGTAGCATCGTGTGCGGTCCATCTTGTGCGTGGGAAAACGCGGGTTCTCTTTTCCTTTTTTTTTTTTTCCTTTTTGTTGTTATTTTTCTCTGTCGCCGACGGTCTGGCTGCCCGGCGCCAAAGTCAACTTGTAAAACTTACTTTTTTCGTTTTTCTTTTTTTTTTTTGTGGTGCTCGATTTTTTGGGGACGGGACGTTTAGTTACGCTGCTCTCTGGAGCATGCCTTCAGACACTCGTTTTAAGCGCAGACGGCAGCAGACCATCCGTGAGTACTTTGGACAATAAAAGGAAGTTTAATTTGAACTATTTTTCTGTTCTTTTTTAATTCGATCATTCGGATAATTCGACCAAACTTCAAGGTCCCGTCGAGGACGAAGTAGCGAAAGTTTACTGTACTATGGGGTCCCCCTGGCCGTACAACTCGCCTGTACAAACCGCTGATCAACTTAAAAAAAAAAAAAAAAAATATAGGCCGTATAGTTTGCAGACTACAGGCGTTTGCAAGCATGGCGTTTCGACCAATGCCCCACGCGTTCAAGCACATGCAGCATGCGCGTAAAGGTAGCTTTGGCAGGCTCTCAATTTCAAGTCCTTCCTCACACAAGCAGGAACATGGCAGCGGTCAGACGCCCCGTCTGCAATCGTCTGTAGTACAGAAAATATGGCAACTGGCTGAGCGGTACCATGTCACAAAATCCACAAGTTATCGCTGCGATGCAAAAAGGTATACAGTGCAATCCACTTATAACGATAATCAGAAAACGCGAAAATGACGCTATATAGCCGATTATCGTTGTATCTGGACTTGAAACTGACTGTGTCTAGTCTAGAAACTCTAGAAACTGATCGTTACGAGGGGTATATTGTTATATGTGGTATCGTTATAAGTGGATTGCACTCTAGTAAACGGCGAGATTGATTTTCTGCTGCAGCTCCAAGCCCTGTTCGGTCTGCTGGTGTGTGCCTGCCTGCTTCCCCTCTGCTGGTTCAAGCTGGTTCAGGCCTCGTGCAAGGGTGAGCTGCTTTGTTCCGTCCCCTTGTGCGTGCCGACGTCATGTCTGAGATCGGAAACTTTCTGGTGCAGGGCAGCTCGGAAGGGGCAATGCGGGCGGCTGTCGTGGCTGCTGCAGCGGCTTTGCGCTGCGGATGCACCTGCTTGTGTCCGTGGACGTCCTGTTTTGGCCACTGCTGCTTTTCCCGGTCTACGTGGCCGTAGGTCCGTTAACGTTCGGTCTTTTTCTACAGTTGTTTCTCGTCCATCTGTGCCCGTGAAATCATGTCGAGCCGCAACGGGTTATGTGGTCTAGTGCAATATAAGTGGGACTTTTCTTACACGGAGCTTTCTGTTCTCCATGGTTGGTGTTTCCTCCTCTGCAGCATGCGCTCCGCTAAAGTAGAAAGAGTGTGGGGGGGGGGGGGGATTTCTGGGAACACCTTGTCCTGCTTTTCTTCACCTTCAGTGGGCTGTGAAAGCACTCTACTGTACCTGGTAGAGCCACTAAAAAGTAAGTTATGCCTACAGTGTCGGCGCTCCATTCACCACTTTTCTTGTGGGCCCCACCATTTTGGTGCTTGGCGCAGTTGGTGATTGTTTCGATTAGAAAACGTGACTACCTGAGCTTTGGATACGGTGTTGGGAAGCTCGGGCAATGTTGTTATGCCGGCAACAATGATTGTGAGCACCAAGATGGCGGCTGTAGTGTTGACCCTAGTTTAGTGCTTGAGAATGGAAGTTGGATGCTTACTTGGAAGAACCTTTTTTAGCTCCAAAATGTTTGCCCCTTTTCTCCGTTTGTGTCTATTGATAGGAGGGGGAATAGAAAAGCTACTTTGTGCAAACTTTTGAGGAGAGGGTAATTCACGATTGACCCCTTTCAAAAAGTCTGACAACAGTGAGAAAAAGCTAGATCTGGCTGGGCACACTGGGCAGCAGACACCATCTCAGAGGATGCTCCTGGTTTGTTTACCGTGAAATCCCGTAAGGGCGCCATCCTCCGAGAGATCGCCCATCCCGTTTTTCTGGCTAAATATCTTTAACATAAAAATACCGAAACATCGCCCACCCCCGATTCCCGTTGAACGTCAAGCGATGTCCGACGGGAATCGCGCATCAACGGCGCGATCGGCGGTACCGGTACGTCGCAGCAGTGAGTTCATAGCGGGTTCCCGCGCGTTTTTGTCTGCGATCTGCAAGCGATATCGGCTCGCGTAACACGCTAGTTGTTCCCGCGTGTGTATTGCACTGTGAAATGCTAATCTGCTGCGTTCGCAATTTGCGGTATCCGTTCCGGAGTTCGTAGCGGATTCTTGCGTTTTCGTCCGTGATGTGCGTGAACGATATCGTTTAGTTGTAAGTAACACGCACGAGTTGTTCCCGCATGTATATTGCATTGCGAAATGCGTTTCTGTTTCGTCTGCGATCTGCGGTATCTGTCTTCGTGACATGCGAGTTTGTAGCATATTCCAGTGTTTTTGTCCGCACTCTGCGCGAGCGGTATCGGTTTCCGTGACAGGCAAGATTGTTGCGGGTTCCGCGTCTTTATTGCACCCTGAAACTTGAATCTGCTGCGTCCGCGATCTGCGGTATCTGTCCCCGTGAGATGCGAGTTCTCGACGGGTTTCCACGAGTCCTTTACACCATGATACGCGAATCTGCTGCGTCGGCCACTTGCGGTATCTTTTCCCTTGAGACACGAGTTTATGGCGAATTTCCGCGTGTTTATCACATCGTGAAATGCGAATTTGCCGTGTCCGCGATATCAGTTCCAATGTCGAGTGGTTTGTAACGGGTGCCCCGGCGCTTATCATTAATGTTTGATAAACTTTTGCTGTGGCATCCCCAAAGATAGCCCACCACATGTTTTTCACCATTTATCTCTTCATTTTGGGTGGGCGTCCTTACAGGATTTTACGGTATGTCGCCCCAGTACGAGGCTCGTGGTGTGATGAGGAGGTCGTGGGTGAAATACGACGGGTGTTTCTGTTTGAAGCGCTGTGAAATTCTTTTTTATAGTGGAACTGTTAAGCGCTAGTTTCTCCAGTTTTGTGTCCGTGGACAAATAGATCTGGACAGCTACCGCCATCTACTTGCGGCACCTTTATTAAGAAGTAAAAGAAAATAATGAAGCGGAGTTGGCCGATTCAGGCATCGCAAGAATACCGTCACTGCCACTGCACTCCATTTTATTCCGAAGCAGCCGTAGGATGTTTAGCATCTGTAGTAGTTGGTATTTCTCAAGGCGCCTTTTTGTCCTTACCTTGGCCGTGCACATCTGTGATCGTAGCATCCATGGCACGAGCAACAATAGGAATGTCCACATCACCAAGTATGGGCGAACTGAAGTTATCCTCGTTGCAGCTCTGGGAATCATGCACTAGAAAATCAGACATGCGCGAAATTAGTTAGCGGTTTTCTATCTTCGAATCACGGGCATGCTCTCTTTTGCATGAGAAACTCTTCTCAAACTCGTTTAGTATATCTTGCTTGTTCCGCAAGATGTTTGACGGTGGCAAATGGTCGATGCCGAAATGTTGAATTCCTCGGCGATTTCGAACTTGGTCCGACCACTTTCTTTAACCTTGCAGATGGAAGCAACCTTCAGTAAACACTCCTATATAACGCACGTCTATGCTGCTGGCACGCACGTCGGGGCCTCCCAGAGGGATGATCTCCTCCGCGATTCTTCGCTTCGCTGACCCTATTCCGACAAGAGTTTGGCCGTGGGCGCTGTGCGGGGCTTCGTCACGTGGACGCCGCTCCCTAGCCGCGCTGTCGCATCGGCATTGGAAGCAGTGCTTCGCCCTCCGTCGCCGGTGTGCTGTTTTCTGTTTGCCCAGTTAGTCGTTCGCCTCGGTGAAGGAGGGGGAGGGAACGCAAGGGTCTCCCGTGTGCGTTTGTGTAGGCTCGTGTGCTGTCGGCACTTCAACTTCGGTCGGCCGCCGATACACTCGGAATAATTCGGTTTGAGATGCACGCGTCTCAGTCGGAACCGTGTTGAACTTTGATAAAGGCAATAGTTCGAATAAAGCAATTTTTTTATAACGAAGGACCGCTGTACATCGCTTCTTTAACACTATGCGTCGCGCACATATACTTGCATTGGTTGACGTACAGCCGGGTCCGGCATAAAAGCGTACTACGCCTGTACACGGGACCTGGAGGTGGCTTTGTATCACTACTTCCACTCCCAAGGAAACCTCATCCTTCTCATTGCTCATTTTCGTTCCAATTGCAGGCCCCTGGTTCGTGGGCGAGCTGGTGGATGGCCACTACGGGGTGTGCTTCCTCTGGGGCACCTACCTGAGAGGCAGGCTACTGCCCAGCGGACTCTCCTACCTCTTCGCCACGGCTTTTGTGAGTGATGCGCCTCGCCCACGTCCGTAGCTAGCCGTGTCCGTGCCCGAAAGGTGTCTTTGACCGGCCTGTTCAGCGTGCCGTACCACCCACGCGTCAAAAGCAGTCCCGAGGTGGCGACAACCGACGTCGCAGAAGCCGACACATCGCATCAACAAACAGCATAAGCGAGCCCGAGTGTCGCCGTCGTCGCGGCGTCCCAACTCCCGGCTGCTGAAGCTTCCGCGAACGAAAATAAAATCTGACATAAACTCAGAATTTTTGCCAAAAAACAAACTCCGAAAAACGCCCTCCGAATTTCGCGAGAAATAAACTCGGAAATTGCGGAATCCTGCTTATAACTAGGGTGCCGTGTTTTCGGTAAACACCGACAGAACCCGAAAATGAACCCCTTAGCTGGTTTTTTCAAAATCGGGAAAAAACCAAAAGACCCCAAATCGGAGCTGCCTCGAACAAGGAAAACCCGAGCTTCACGGAAAGAAAACCTTTTCTACAGCTTTATCTTATTTCGAACGGGAAGCAACCCACACTGAACTGTCCGCGAGGCTATACCTCTTCCCTCAGAACCACACCCCTTATCTCTTTTCTCTCTCTTATTGGTACCAGGACATCTTTTAACTGTTTGGGTAATGCACGCACGTCCCATGGAGGTCCGGGAAGCCCATGCCCACTTCCCATTTCTTTTCACGGAAGCCTGGATAAACGCCAACGTTTTGTCCAACACCAAAAGTCGAATCCGAAAAACCCTAGAATCTAGGGAGCAAAATCAACCTTGAAAAGACTACCCCCATTCCAGGAAAAATAAACCACAAAAATTATGGAACCCTACTCGTAACAATGTCAGAAATATTATGAGCACACGGCGAAAGAATAATGTGTGGCATATATGCAGATCGGTTTGCAGGACAACTCGATAGTAGATGGCACGGGTCTGTTCTATCGTTGTGAGCGGTAATAAGACTTAACGAACCCTGTAGTATGAAGACTGGGTGACCCCCAGACAAGAACCAGCGCAGGGTCCCGAATTTGGGTGAAGCCTTTAATGTGGAGGCGTCGCATGGAAAACTTTAAGGAACAAACTTACCCGAGTGAAAAGTAGATAACTGGTTTGCTCTACCTACGGCACCCGTTTGCTGACCACTTTTTCCTCCGACCGAGGTATGGTGGCGGCAGACCCGGCGGCTTACGGCAGCTTAGCAGCCACCCAGTCGCGCCAAGAGCGGACAACCTTTTCGAATTGTAAACGTTGCATGCTTTTTCGGTGCTGCGGTAATCAGTGCACGATTTCTTTTTCGTTCCCGATAAACTAAATTAAAGGAAAGCAAGACAAAAAAGACCGATGGTTCTTTGAGTCATTTTGGCTGCGCGTCGTCCGCTTTTGGCCCGACCGGGCAGCTGCCGGGCTGGCGTAAGCTGCGGGGGCCGCTGCGGCCATCTGTCGGTTGTTGCGCAAGTCAGAGGGTGTGCGGTTAGCAGACGGGCGCCGTAGCTAAAAAGAACTCGTTATAGTTTTTTTCTAATTTTGCTTTTTACTCTAGTAATTACGTTTTTATAAATTTTTATGCGAGGCTTCCACCACCTTCGGGCATTTCCACAGTGAATCCTAAGCGCGATATGTTACTGGGCCGATTTACGCAATCACTTTCATGGCTTCGTGCGGGCTTCGAGACCCTGCGGTACTACAGAGATAGCGGATCATGGACCAGCTCCTCGACTACGTCGGGTCAGCAAACCTGACGTAGTCGATGGAGTGGTAGGCCGAGATAATGCACGTTATCTCGGCCTACCACTCCATCCAACCTCCCATCCCTCGCCAGATAAGACGACTCTAGTCAAGCTGTTTTGGTTTCCCTTCCCTCTTAATAAGCGTGTTCTACTACTGTAAAAACCCTTTATTTTTGCGGCCCCTATTTTTCGCGAATCGCTCACAGATGACATGATCGCGACCACTAAATTTCGCGAATTCCAGACGCCTGCATTGAAAATCTTAAGGACCGAAATTTTCGCGCGCCCTTAAATTTCGCAAATTCTTCAATTCGTAAAATTCGCGAAAATTGAGGGCCCGCGAACATTAAGGGTTTTACAGTATACTTAGGGTTCCGCGTTTTCGGTTTTTATTTTTTCAAAATTCGGCATACTTTTTTTTGTGTTTATTTTAGAATTCAGTTCTCGATTTTTTTTCGGTGTAAATTTATTCCCCAAAAAGTTTATTTACCATTTTTTTTTCGGTGAACATGAAAGAAACACCATCGGACAGCTGATCAGATGATCCTTGTAGCTGTGATATTTGTGATCACTCAAAAAATACAGTATGTATACATGCGTGGCCTATGCTACAACTTCCGTCAGGACACACCTCAAAATCGCGGAATTCGCAGGCATATTCTTCAGCGCGCTTTTTTTCCTTCCCATTTTGACGACGTGACCGCCTCAGGTGATGACCGTACAGGAACCAGCGGAATGGCCAAAAAAGATCTATTGTATTTAAGTTCTCGATTACAGAGAAGTTTGAGTGAGGGTGTCAAGAAAGGTATTAACGGCTTCCCTCGATGTCCTCTGAAGTGCATGAAGCGAAAAACCTCCCACTAGCCCACATCCAAACTTTTTTTCAGGACCAGGAACTTGACACACTCAGCCCGATCACAGAAAGGACACGGATGTCCCGCAAAGGCCAATCCAAGACCTCTTTTTTTGCATGTTGAACCTTGAAAGAGGGCAATCACAAAGACGTCGCACAATGTCGAACCTTGCAAAGCCCCCTCTCTCTCTCTCCCCCCCCTCCTCCACCCAACTCAACGCAGCGTTTAAAAACTAACCTTCGGCTTTTAAAAACTGACCTTTTTCAGTTAAAACCGAATTTTCGAAAATCGATTCGGCATACTTTTATGGGCTATTATCGGTTTAAACCGAAAACTCCGAACCCTAACTATACTACTACTAGTGGTTGCGAGCCATTGCAACGCCGTTAATCGCGCTCAAGCGCAAATATGCGAGCCAGCCTTCACGACGTCAATCGCTGATTCCTACGTCACGGCATGCAGCTGCTCTTCTGCTACGTGCCGCTGGTAGTCGTCCTGACGCACGCGCTCTGGCGGAGGCGCCTGGCCCTGACGACTGGGGCACCCATGGCCTCGGGTTTCTGGCTGGCGCTCGTGCTCGCGCTCCAGTGGACGTGGTCGGCTCCGTACATCGTGGCCTACGGCTACCTCGCCCTCCTCCTGGGGTTCCTCTGCACGGGAACGCCGCTGGCTTCGCTGGTCGCCTGGCAGGTGGTACGCACGCTGCCGCATCACAAGATGGACACGTTCGAGCGGCTCTTGGGAACCTCTCGGTCGGACCTCGGCCCGACCAAGGCCGGTAGCAGTTGACCCCAGCTGCCGTCCGGAGCCGCCATGTGGTTCGGCCTTCGTTGTCTGCGGCGGGCGACGCAGACGATTCGGCGATTCGGACGCCGATCGAAGGATTGACGCACCAGGAAACTAATGCACCACGTTTGACCTCAAGGTCCTCGGCTGCGGAAGCACGTTAGGAAAAGGAAATGAAACTTGCGCGTGTGGTCTAGTGGCACGGAAGGAAGCGTAGGCTGCCCCTTTTTGCTCGGTTTGCTCCCAGTGCAGACTCTGAGTTTCGCAGTGTGTCGACACTAAGCTCGTTCGATTTACCGGCACGGGCCGGCATCGGTGTGGAAAAGTTCAGGGGAATGTACTTTCGGTTGGTTGTGTTTCTATTTAGGCTGCACTCGTACATCAAATATGATGGCGTGCACACAGTGTGGCCGGTGCAGGTAAAACAAACGTAGCGACTTTTGTACATGCGACGCGCACTGGTGGATGGCATTCTCGTTCTGGGCCCAGACCGAACGAAAGAGGCGGCCCACGTTTTTTTGTCCTGCGTGAAAGCAAGTGGACGGTTGTCTGCTATTGCAGCTGTGTGCATGAGGTGTGAAAGCTGCGGAAGTGAGTGTCGAGGCTGCAAGTGCATAGCAGAATGTGGTGATTTTGGAAACTGAGGGTGGTACAACAAAGGCTTCAGGTGTTTGATTGGTAGAAGACATTGTTGCAATTAGTTGCACAAATCGCAAGAATGGTCGGCGTCTTGTCTTGATGTTAACGTCCTAGTTTAGCACTCGCCGCCCTAAACTGGTGCGCGAAATTGAAGCAGTCCCGATGTGCATTCTCATTGTGTTCTCGTTATGCTACTACCTCTGTTTATGCAGCATATGAAACGAAGCCTTTTATGAGGCACTCTACTCTGGCCAAGTTTCTTTGCTCAACACAATCGTTTAAAGCTCTGCACTTAATTGCAGCTTATGTCTTACGCGTATTTATTCTCTTTCAGTGCTTTATTCGTCCTTGTGTCTTCACGCAGTATTAACCCGTCAAGGTCTTGGATCCAAGGGTGGATCCCAAGTCACTTTACTGTATCTTTCTTTCCCCTTCCATGTATCTTTCTTTCCCCCTTTCGTCATTTCTTTCCGACATTTTTTTACATGCAGTTACTGCGCTACGATCATACTTACCATAAAATGCTCGACTCACTTACTGTGCGATTCCAATTTCGGAATCTTTCTATAATTTCTGTCCTGCATTGTGACACATGTCATGGTTGTTTTAATGGATGCACCACGTGGGCCCGTTTCCTAGTACTATTCAGTGCTAGTCACTGTTACATTGGCTTAGCTGAGCATTATTTGGTCGTGCATCAAATTCCTTGCCAAAACGCACGGGGAACCCAGAATCCCAGCATTGGCTCGCCGAGTACTGCTAAGCATTTCAGGAATCTTGATCTGTGTGTCATCTTTTGCTTGTCTCTCGTCTGTGCATTACTTAAGGATAAATGAAATGCAAAAAGTGCTTTTGAACGATGTCTGCATTAAGCCAATGCTTTTGACAGGTGTAACTGTCACGCTCACCGTTCTGTGATCCCTGTAATGTGTGGGGTGTGCGAGTAGTAGAAAAATATAAATGCTGCTATTGTTTGCAATGTAGTCACCCATAGTGTGTTTTACACCACACAACTGGCGTCTTTCGCAAAGCGAGTGATAAGAGTACTACATGGTACACTTCTTGCAGCTGCTTGACCTCAGTCAAGCATTACAAGCTCGGCGAGTTGGGAGAGTCCGATGGGTTTTAAGCATGTCGGACCTGAATCGATTTGAACCTAAAATATCTAGTCATATATTTGGGGGGCAAAAACAGATTTCTTTTTTAATTTAGATGAAAAACTCCAATATTCACGTGCCTCCACTGTTCGACATTTATAATACAGCCCAAACTGTCTTGCAGAGAATACTGTCCTAGTCCTTCAACTGGAGTTTTTGGTGCAGTACTCCAATTAATTTGCATTTTTATTTTGCACGGGTTTTTTTTTTTTTTTTGTTTGACACAGGCTTTCTGCAACAATAATTGTAGCATCACTGTTATTGATTTCCAATGCAATGTGTAATCACAATTTTGCCGATGCTGCGCAAAATGTCGGGCAGTGCACCATTTGTTGCATCCTTTTTGTGCAACATAGTATTATATTAACAGGCCTAGTCGGCCCTGGTTTCCAACTGTTGTGCACTGTTGAGGTTACTCCCAGGGAAACTGTACGGCTGATCTGTTTTTGATGAGTCTTTTGCTTAAGTGTATAAATTGACTGTATTCAATGTTAGGTTGCATAAATATAAAAGTATGGTTATTAATATATTTCCTTCGAGTGTGGTTTTCGCTTGTTTTCGAATGAACACAGTCTTATATGGAGTGTTGTGCGACTATTTCAATTTTCGAATAGTAGTATCAAATAATACGCCATTCGCTTCGAGGTGAACTGCAATATGTTGATTGCGAGGGGATAGCCCCGTTGAGTGCACTTCTCACTGAGCACACGTGGACTGCGGGAAAGCAATGCCCGCGGAGCCCGCGAGCTTTACGGGTCTTGCTTTCCCGCAGTGCACAGGAGCTGGGTAAGAAGCGCACTCAACGGGGGTAACCTGACGTGATTATGCAAGAGTATATATATCAAACAGCAATGTGTTGACAGCATGCGTTCATCATTCATGCCTGTTTTCTTTTTTTGTCAGATTTGAAATAGAAGAAAGATATTTGCATATAGCAAGCAGATTTATGAATCCCCTCAATTGGATAGCTGCGACAAATCTCTTTTCCATGGCACAGTTTATATACACCTTTCCAAAAAACGCTCGGCCTCAGGGACAAGAGAATTTTTCTCAAGCCCAGTTACTGGGTTTCAGGCTAGTCTCTCACCAGCGTCCCCACTAACCCTAACCGAGTGGACTGTGATTATGTAGGCGCACCTGCGGAGGCGCAATTTCAAACACTGCTGGCGGCCAAATTCTCTTATTTTCCCACTGTTTTTTTGCGTTTCATGGTGTATTTTCTAGGACATTGAGGAAGCATTGTATCACATTTGAAACAAACAAAAAACTGTAAACTATTTTTATTGGATGCGCGCTCAGCTGCACAAGTTTTAACGGCGCACAAATAACATGCTTACCGATGGACAGGACTCAGACGTAGAATTTAGGGGGTGTTAACATTTGAACAGTATATTGTACATACCACACGGGCTGCCTTATCCGAAAAGGATTTATTTGAGAAAGATCTCGAATAACACAGCACTACAGTGTCGACAACAGTCACCTCTTGACAATCGGACGGAATCCAAAAGGACTTCATTTTGAGGCACGTTTTGGGGATACATAGCTTCCTTTTTTCACACCAGCACCAAGGCAAAGGAAGTGACGCGACTGATCCGTTCCCAAATTGAACGACTATTTTTGGCAATGACTGAGAAGGACTTTACACATTATCATCTCTGGGAGGAGGGGAGAAATGTTATCAATGTTCGCAAAATCGCGTCGACGTCCTTCCCTTCCTTCGTTTCCTGTGAATGTCAAGTAGAAACACTTGAATGGCAGGCACTTACCAGCCCTATTTCTCATTGTGGAAGATAACACAAAAAGGGCATGCAGCAGGAATATTTAAACTTATATGGAAACTTTCAAGAGAGCCTGTAAAATTTCAAATGCAAAACCACTAAACATGAGTGGAGAGTCGTGCTGAGCAGGTTTCAACAGTCCGAATATTTCTAGCCGAGAGTCGTATCAGCTGCATTATCATCAGCAACTTGGCAGCGGCCTAAAAGCATTTTTTTTAAAGGTGTATAGTTTTGTTAAAATGAACTGAGCTTAGAAGTAGACGAGGAATGTTGAGAACAACCTTCATGAGTTCAGCTGAATTTTCGTTTCAGCGTGGTGCACACTGCAAGGCTTTGCAAAACTGTTAGATTCGAAAATATTGGGCAAAAACCACTATATTCGCTTTGAACTCAAAATCCACTATTTGCACATGACTATAATATACAGTGCTGAATGCTATGGGGCAATAAATGATGCACCAAACTTAAATGAAGTCCTGATCATGGTGACGCACGATGATGTCCACTGCACATTAATGGACCTCCCGGTTAGCAGAGGTCAAGAATATCACAACTCAATCACCTTCAGAGCGTACCATTCTTAGCCTATTTCGAATGAAAGTCAGTTTCTTACTCAGCATCTACGAGTGCCGATATTTGTAGTTAAATGGTGGGAAAATAGTGCATAACTGAACCATTTTATAATTTACTCTCGGTTATTAGTGGCATACACTTAAATTCTCTTGCGCAGAGTAACTGCTGCCATTTTAGAATTACTGAGACTAGGGTAAGAGACAGAAGTAGCTTTGCCCCAGAAGCGCTTCTCCACTGCAATGCCCAGCTTGCACTTGAAAGGCATCAATGAAGCTGTTAAAAAAATATGTTCAGAGATCCTGTTGGAGGCACACACATATAGTATGTGTCCATTCCACTGTTCGGAGCCTTTACAGATGGTGCAATTTCATAATGACACAGAAGAGTCGAAGTATTTGACTAGCTTTATGCAATCTCTTATATTCATAGTGGCCACTTGTGAAAGGGCTTATTTCTGCAACTTTGTCACGTGTCATTGGGAGGATCGCAGAAACAAATCGTTATGCAGGTACTCTGTCACTTGCCAAGTGTTAAATGAACTCTGAAGTGATTTTCGAAGTTCAGTTTTACCTATGGTTGTAACAAATGACTGAAGCGCAATATTGACTGAGTTCTAAATGCTAAGTTTTTAGAAAAGATTTGACTGTTTAAACCCCCTAGGCAGCCCAAAAAAAATTGAAATGAAATGTAATGAACTGTTTTTCACTGTCTTCTTGAACAGCACTTTTCATGTATGGAATAAATATTCTGAAATGGCAGGGTTTCAAAGCAATCAAGTTTGCAGTGGAGCCCTCAGAAGACAGTTTTATGACTCTGTCCAAGGTACAGTCGAGCCCGGTTATTTAGAATTATTGTTTATATCGAACAGTCCAAACGTCCCCTTGAAAATCACATGTCATAGTATAGGAGCATTGTTTTTCTGTACCACGCTGCCGGGGACACTTGATATAGCAACGAAGCACAGACTGGGTCGCTTCTACAGTGGTCGGATTGCGCAGGCGGCAAGCCCGTTGCGGAGCTGGCAGACCGCCAAGCTAGCATACGCGCACCGAGATACGCAGCACAAAAGCAGTTGTAAAAAAAAAAAAAAAGTATGACATAACAAAAAGGCGAACGCGGGCGCCTAGGGGGGTCGGGGAGTGCCCGCTGTTGGAACGGTAGCATGTGCGCGCTCTTTCCCCTAAAGGGCCGCCCACACTAGCGAGAAAACGCGCCCGGCGCGCCGATAAATCGGTTAAGCGGGATGATAAAGGGCGTGTCTCTGCACGCGCTCGTGGCGCTGACTGTGCTTTGGCGACATTTTGTTACTTGCCGCGATCGGCGTGCCACGCGCGTTTTCTCGCTAGTGTGGGCGGCCCTTAACACCGCTGTCGCTGCACCACTCCTCACCCCAAAATACAATAGGCAAATAAAAAGTCTTGCTCAAGTTGAGTGCGTCGACAACGGTTGAGCAATCGCACTTTGAACGACTTATCTTCGTTTAACTTTTCCATTCGCGGTTTTCGCTTTGCCCGTGTTTTCTTTTTTTGCTGCCTGAATTAAGTGAGGTTTCTTTTTTGTTACTTGCTTAACTTTATTTAATGGATTCTTTTTTATGCTGCTTTCTTTTTCCGTCTTTTTCATTTTTTAAATTATTTCCGTGTTTTGTTGCCGGCGCTGTGTGGAGGTGGCCAGGCGTAAACAATCGCAAACACCGCCGCGTAAACGCGGCGGCGTTTGTGATCTTCACAACTAAACTCTACTGTATTTAGCGGCTCTTAGAGGCTCTATTTGGTAAGGTCCCGTTTGTTGCAGCTTTCGGTATTAGCAGAGACGCGGAAATTTCAACTGGAGCTTAACATATTTTGTATATCAAATTATCTATTTTACGACCCCCTTTGAAATCGATATATCCGGGTTCGACTGTATTTGCAAGAGTAGCATCTTGTCCCTGTACCATAGTATCCCTAGAGATAGCCCATTTAAAAGCGAGAGCAAATCGGATGAAACTGAAAAGTGCAAACTCCGCTGTGCGATTAAGAAAAATTTTTTAAATGCTATTTTTGTATTTTGCGACTTGCCAAACATGTTTTCACGTTGAGGGGCAATGGGGGCATAGACAATTGTCTTTCCCAGTCAGCACTGTTTGCTTACCTCCCACCATAGCTAACTAACCCCATTTTGGTTGAGGTCCCACCATTGGCCATGGCACTGCCATTACTAGAACTCAACTATCCTTTGATATTTTAGCAAATAGCAAGCTTTTGGGGGTGGGGCTTCTTTTGTGATATTACAGTAGTCCTCGAGTGTGTGGAGGAAGCAATGCAAGGTCTTCAGAAGACTCAAGTTCCAATAAAATCCCACAGAGAAAGGTGCCTCGGACACCATTTATTCACCGTTAAGACCACCAGGTGTCAAGCCCCCAAGACTTCACTCTCCGACAGGTCTTGGAGGATTATTGTGCACAATGATGCAGCTCTTCAAAGGAACGGAATCAGCATTATCAGTTCTAGAAAAAACAATCCTCTGAAACAGGTTGGTCACATTGCTCAAGCGTTGCAAAGTTAAGGATGCCACAGGCAAGGGTCTGCCGCCACTTGTCTGCTGCACCTGCAATCTGTCCCCTGCATGTCTGGTAGGTGATAACCACTAGTTGCATCTGCTGGAGTTCCTCAACAGATTTCTTGCAGAAGTTCCTGCCAGGTGCTGGGTGTGTCGCCCACTAGGTACCGTCCGCTCTATGTGGTCATGCTAGTTGCGTTCCAGATATTATCTATAAGCTGTCCCCTACTAGTTAACTTCTGCCACTTGTCTGCTAGGTGTCGTCTGCCAGGCCGGCCAGCCGGCGAAGCGCACGTGCCGTGTCCTGCGTGCCCATTGGTCGGTACTCCTCCAGTGCCATGTGGAAGCTGGCGCGCCCGGAGGACAATGTTCGGAGCTCGTCCGCGTAATTGTCCAGCTCTGCAAGGGGTGCCTTCGCAGAGACAACACGCACGTCTCGCCGCTGTTGCACCTCTCCAATAGCTGCCCGTCGCCGGGAGAGGTCGTTCAGCACACGCCCCAGATAGCTTTCCGGAGTGCACACCTGCATGCGGGACACAACTTTGGTATAGTAAGACCTTCAACCCTTTGCAGATCACAATACAACTCCAGTAAGATCCAGAGCGAGTGCCCACTCAAAATTGGGGGGATAGCATGTAAAACGGGGATGAACGCCTTTTCAAGTCGACAATACATAAAGATACGTCTCGTGTATTTTCCAAATGTTACAAAATTGAGGGGTGGGCACTTATTGTTGAATGGGTGGTATCTTAAGGTGGGCTGTAGAAGAGTTTGTGTTGCTAAATGGCAGGTATTGAAATGGTGCATCTTATTTATGGGCATATACTGCCAGCATTTGATTGAATGCCAAGGCAGGATGACGGGCAAAGCAGACTTGCAGTACAACAAATGTAACTACCAAGCGGAGAAGTGCTTCAGAAGGGCGTGACTAAAACCAGATGCCATTTCTATAATGAACAGTTTCAGGAAGCTTATCCCAATCACCGATGGTATTTGGAAACAAAACAAATTTAGAGCCCTTCCACTTAAAGGGCAATTCCGAAGATTTCGGGATAATGAGTGATTTCGCATTAAAAAGTCCTAGTAAAAAACACTACGTCGTTTGCTTTACAAAAAATGTGATATTTATTTTAAATCTAATTTTAAACACGAGCGCAAATCGAAACCGAAACTTTGGCTCCGTCCGGCAACATTGGATTCGGGCCGCCAAGAACATGGCCATCACGTGGTACAAGATGTCACGTGATCCTCTACTCAACGACAAGCGGGATTGGGGCAGGCGTGTGCCAGGCGCAAGTGTCGTCTGCACCGCACTCTTCGCCACGTTTTGGAGTCTACGACATTCGACGATGTCAGTGCAACTGTGACATAAGTCTGCGCACATGGTGTCCGTAGTGTGGATGAAACTCTGAGAGACAATAATCACAAACGGTGAGACGACGACGGCGGTCGTGACGCGGAAGACGGTGGTAACTGCGAGAACACGGCGGGACGGCTTCAAAAAGCGCGCTGCGCAAGCGCGTTACGCCAATCACGTAGAGACCGCCGAGCGCCAAGAGGAAACAATGCTGATGTCATCCGCTATGCTCACCCGGAGAAGTAAAAACAAGCAAAAGGGGGCAATGGTGATGATGTTTAGCTCAATGTTGACTACGCCCATGCCGTTGCCTTGGTTTCGCCCGCTCAAGTTAGCCGATTTCGGCAACTTGGAGAGTTGCAAAGTTTGCTCGATTGTTCAAGAAACATTTAGACAGAACTGCATCGTAATATCTGACGTGTGGTCTTCCTAGGCGATACTGAAGAGGACTGCATTGTTTATTCAAAACCAAAAATGAAGCGGAGTTGCCCTTCAACGGGAAGATCGAGGACCAGCGAAGCTGTTATCTTTACGACGTCTAGGACGATGCCTAGGGGACAATGTCTGGGACGACCTCAAGGACGACTTCTTGGATGACCTTAAGGACGCAGCCTAGAGGACGACGCCTAGCACGACCTCAAGGACAAAGTCTAGAACGCCTAGTGAAATTCAGCCTTCCCACTCTGGTGAAAACCAGAGTGGAAAGGCTAAAAAGGTTGCCGACTTCGCTCATAGATGGCGGTAGCTGTCTGGAGTTTTGTGTCAACACGCCGCCGTGGACATGATAGTGGGAAAACTAGCCCTTAACATTTCCGCTGTAAAAGTTGTTTTGAATGAGTTTGATCAGTATCAAGGTCTAGTAGACCTACTGTCCCTTAAATGGGAACTTTGCACTAAGCATAAACATTTCTGTACCACACTGTCGAGGCTAGCATAGTTTCTGCAGTGCTCCACGCTGTCCAAGCTACTTGCACGACCGCGTGGCTTCATTTGGCATCTCCTTCATGCAAGAGCACAGGTAAATGAGATGCAGGATGAAGAGACGTGCTCTCGCAACAGTCCTACGAAAACTATGACAGTCTTTACAACGCAGCACAAAATGATTGACGCAGACTATAGGAACAACCAGAGAAGCAACCATGGCTGTCGATCAATGTACGGTGGGAGGCCATAAAAGCTGGCACAACCGAGCACATGGAGTGCTTCTGGCATGCGAACTAGCACAATTGGATGATACCAGATAGTGGCTCTCAAATGCAACGTCTTTCTCTCTCTCTCAACATCTTAAAGCACTGTTACCGCTCCGACCTGAACACTTTTTGCAACTCGCACTGCCACCCCCCACACTCGCACGTAAACCCTAAATTTTCACTATCCGCAAAACGGCGAGCAAACGGAAATACGTCGACGAGCATTGGTAGGCAAAAGAAACGAAACAACATGCACCAGACCTCGACGTGCATGACCGGTTCCAGTAGGACCACGGCAGCTTCCTTGAGTGCTCTGGCAAGACACTGAGAGGCGGCGGCCGTCACCATGGCAACGGATGTGCCGCGCGACACCTTGCACCAGTTGAGCTCCACCCCGGCGTTCACCACGGGAAAGCCGTGCAGGGGACCGTGTGCCAACGCCAGGGCGGCGCCATCTTCGAGGGCCTTGAGGTGCTGCTGCCAGAGTCGTGCCAGTCCGTTCTCCTCGGTTGCCAACACCTGCGTTTTCCGTACTTACAGTCTAGGCAGTTCGAAGTGGAGCAGCGGGACTACGGGGCGGTTCCACGAAACTGCTCCTCCCTTCTGGTAAGTCGCGTTGCGCCATGTTGACGAACAGTGTCCGCCACTTTTAGCATTAGTTTACACGCAGACGCGTAGTTATTGGTGTCATTTTTCGTGTTGATAAAACATGCAAGCATTGCGAGAGGCCCTTTCAACGACAGAATTCGGCAGTCGCAATCGGAGATGTATTTGGACCACAAAAACCCAAGCTTAAAGGGGCCCTCAAGAACTTTTTTACTGGTTTTTAATTTGCACCGAACCCGAGTGCACTGAACGCAGTAAATTAATGAAACATTTCTTTTCTCGAATTTTGCTTTATTCTAAAAGTTATAGGCAAATTAAAATCACAGAAACAAGCAAAAAATAACCTCCTTCATGACGTCCTTGGTCGCTTGAGTGGCCCTGAACTAGAGGAAGGGTAGTGAGCTGAGCGAGCGCTCACGGCTGCCGCACTCCTTGTCGATGGCTCGAGAGGACACTACTGAAGCATGTTCTGGGTAGGCTGAATGAAGTGGACAGCCAGGGTGGCTCGCATTGCATTTGTTGAGCAATTAAACACTAATTCGGCATGACACTTCACTGGCTACAAACGACAGCAAACACGGGGTAAAGATCAATTCAGAACGGGAGCCGCTTTGCGCTGCCATACCGCCAAACGGCCAAACTGCAAGTCAAACCTCCTCGCCGAAGGCTTTCGAAACGCTCGGAACCAATCGGATCCTCGAGCTCGTATATGACTGCAGCGCTGCCGCATACATCCGGGACCTTCCTACGCTCGCCGCTCGTTGGTGCCTAATCCCACTACACCTCTCTAGTATGCATTGCCTTTTCCACCACTTGGTGGCGGGTATGTCAACGGGTCATTACTTGTTTCCATACTTTATAAACCGCATCTGTTTTTTTTCTGATCTAAAATACTGAACAAAAACTACTTCTATAAATAACTGAAACGGTTTGCGCCACTTACATTTTGTATTTCGATTAAAAAGAAGCTTTTAGCGGCTCTCACAGTAGTAAGCCCAGGACCAAAGACTTCACATATCCTGCGCTTTCGGCAGCGGGTTGCCCCCGCAGTTGGAGGAGGTTCCCGCGTCGTCCGGTTCAAATATGATGCACTGATATTTAGTCACTCTCTCCGTGCCCGCTGGCTTGCCCAAACCCCAAGAGACTTGGAAACCGCAAAAAAGGTAGACGTTCAAATATGATTGCAGGGCCCTTTTAATATGCACTCGCACTAGCGTTCAAATTGCATCCGTAAAGCGGATCTGCTCGTTTTCATCGTCGAATGCGCACAAAATTGTATTGGATCTTTAAGCAACTGCATTTGCAACCACTCTGCGAAAACGGTCCAACCACTACAGTGAACATGGCATCGCTCCGGTTTGTTTCTGTTGCCCCGGCAGCATCTACCGGCGCCATTTTGGCTGCCGACGGGTCTACTTCTCGACCGCCGGCTTGTCTTAAGTCCAAATAAAAACCGGTACGTATGAAAATCGAGTACCAGACAACACTTCCTCGTGTCGCCGACTGCTCTGGCAGACACAATCGATCGTGGTGCAAAAAAAAAGAACTCGGCCGAACCTAGAAACACTTCCTCCGCACATAAAAAGACCTAAGACAAAAGTTCATTGAGACGGTGTCCGGCAAGATTTCGAGCTGGAAATTTGAACTGCTCTACACTCCGTCTCACGTTACGATAGAGTGCGGCGGACGCTACAAACTGTCCCAGCCGATTCGGTGCCATGAATGTATCGTGAAACTATGTGCCCCTGCGCGTCGCTGCATCCCGGAAAGTCGCACAATACTTGAGCGACATGGGATTGGCTTGGGTGGTTCGTAGCACCCTCTGTTTTATTATTGTAAAGTGCTATCAGTATACTAGACGTGTCGTCGGCGAGAGTACGGTGAACTTGTTTGTCATCGCTGACGACTTAAAAAACGCAGAGCCTGGCAAGTCCCGGGCATCCTGTTGCCGCTCTGCGGCCAGTGAGATGGCAGCATCAGCCGATAAGTTGCAAGACTGACCTGCTATTGCAGCAGGAGCCCAGCTCCTTCCTTAAAATTGCACTAAAGACGTTTTTGAGATAGTCTGTTCTTAGGGATAGCTTATCTTACGGACTTTAAGCATCCTGGAAATCCAAAAATTATGCTTTTGCAACGCCTATTTCCTTACTAAAAATGTGATCAAAGTTGCAACATGTTTCATGTCTAAAATGTCCATCTGTCTATCTAAAATGAGGAACAGCTCCTCCTTTGAGGGGTGTGAGCTTCAACCAATAAACTTGCAAAATAGTGCCCAGTTTAATTGCCAAAAATAATATAACAATGAGAAATATTTAAAACTGCCCAGCCAGCATACGGTCGCCATATCGCTAAAAAAAAGTCAAGAACATATTTTAAAAAATGCTCCATTTTATCTATCAATGTTCCATTTTCCCCGTGACCGTATGAAAAGGTTCCAATGAAGGATGCTAAAGTTGAGGCTTGGGCAAGTTGGTACATACTTCGGAATTAAAAACAGCGTGGAAATACGAGGACCAGACAAAGAAGTGACACGGGTGTAGCGATGACTGGAAGGACAAGGAACCCCCCTTCTTTATCTGAGGCTAATAAAGACAAAGAGTTATCTTTGTCTTTATTAGCGCTACGTCCGTGTCACCTCTTTGTCTGGTCCTCATCTTTCGGCGCTGTTTTTAATTCCGTAGTCCCAATGAAGCACACATAATTATCCAAAAGGCACAAAGGGCTCGAAATACCGTATTTATTAGAATAGAAGGCGAGGTTTTTTTTCCAAAATCCGTAGTCTCAAAGTCATACCCCGCCTTATATTCGAAGCTCAGTATAGCAATATGACGATTTTTTTTCTTTTTCTTGGGTCCTTCAACTGCCCCCTCGCCTTATAATCGTGACTGCCTTATATTCGAATAAATACGGTACCTAACCTACCCCCGATCTCCCTGCAATGCCTTCAGGCCCAAAGAGAAAATATAAATTAAACGAAACGAAATACCTTGTTTCATCTTGCAATGAACAACAGGACGCTGCGACCCATCCCAGTCAATTAAGGGCTGCGAACGTACTGCACGATACATGCCCCGCATATCACCGTGCCCCTTCCAATCAAGCGCGTAGCATCACCTGCAGTTCATCGTAAGGTCAAACAAAGCATAAAAATTTGTTTTGCCAGGGCGAGAACCATTTACAGGGCCCAGAGTGTACACACCGGACGTAATACAAGATTGTGATATAAGTCCCACGATTTGGATGCTCCATAGCACTCACATTTTGAAACATAACCCCTGCGTCCCAAGAAAATGACAGGTACTGACGATGTTGCTACGCTCGGCATCAACTGTTTTGTGCTACGTCGTCAATGCTAGCCTAGCTTCTGCAGCACTTCAATGCTGTTAAAGCTACGTGCACGAGTGCATGGCTTGATTTGGCGTCTCCTCCGCTCGAGCGCGCGTGCAAATGAGTTTTAGAAGACGAAGCCTCATTCCCTCGCAGCAGTGAGAGGCTGCAGTGTTGTGGAAGTTATGCTAGTTTTGACAATGTGAAGCGAAGTGGTTGATACCAAGTACAACGACAAGGAGACTCCACGAACCCGCAGCTGCCGAAAGGGACCGTCGGCCAGCACCAGTCGCATTTCCAGTTCAACGTGGTGTTTTGTTCCTCCGGTAGTACGGTCCAAAACGTGGCGAACAGGCACCGTGCTCTGATTGGTGGGAGCTTCACGGTAGGCCACCTACGAGCGGAATTCGAAACTACCGTGAAAATCGCTCACATTTCCTTTAAGGTCAGTACGAGTGCACATTTGCAACACGAATCGCACGCTCAGGAAGGTAACAGCAAAGGATGAACACACACAAACTTTAGTTCATGTTTGTCTGTCTTCTTTCATCACCTCCATCCAATGTGCGATCGTATCGCTGATATAGACCAATAGTGGTACTATGTAGGAGAAAATGAAAATACCCCATTTGAGGCTTAGATGAACGATGGCACTAGAGTATGATTCAAGCTACTACTATGGCGAAGGGACTCGAATGAAACGAGTAAATGCTCCAGAAATTAATCGACGAATAATACAGTCTAAGCTCATTATAACAGACGTTGATTTTGACCAAGATTTCGGTCTGTTGTGAAAGGGGTATGTTGTAAGCAGATATGAAGTTGAGTCAATGGTATGTAGAGGAAAACCAATTGAACTTCACAAATCGGTATGTTATATCCAAATGTCTGTTGTAAAGATGTCTGTTGTAATGAGCTTAGACTGTAAACGGACAAAATAATTAACAACAGCTTGACTACATACAAGGGGTGCTCTAGTTCTGTACAGGGAGATGGCAGAGGCTTCGAAGATGACAGGCACCGGCCACGTGATAAAACATACGTTAATGGGATGCTTAAGAGATTTGGGAAAATGTCCCTACGTAACTGGCTCAATCATGTGACCCTCCATGCTAATATGATAAGGTTCTAGCTAGAGCCACTATGGATAGGCTACGCCTGGACCCATATCAGCACTCTGTCCCCCGATTGTCTGGTGGGTGCCGTCATTTTGTTGCCTAGTGCAAAGTGGTTGCAACTGGTAATAGTTACAATTCGAAAATGTGACTTCGGGCGACTAGCAACAATGATTTTAAGCATGAAGATAGCTAAATTGTCGTTATATATGTACCTTATTCAGCCCGCACGTTACGTTCCCCGTTGCAAATATAACCATTATCTTTTTCATTACCTCTGCTAGCAGCCATGTACAAATACTCCATATCCTAGCGTACACGTTTGCGATTACAAGAGTTATAGCCCCTTCCCCTGGCAAATAGCGAGCGCTTGCCGAGCGGATTGTTTCTTTCACGAGATGAGAGCAATCTCTCCGTGTGCCGCTTGTAGATCTGGAGCCAGTGGGGCGCTCGCCGAGCGGCTCCGACCGCTCCGTGGAAAAGTGGCAAAGCGCGTCGAGCGGTCCGGAGTAGTTCTCCGCGCCGCCTTTTTCGGAGGAGTACGATCTGTAGTCGTCACTCGCAACGTTTCAGTTTCGTTATTGACATTCCCGCGGGGGGTGAAGGAGTTTCGCGGCTTTTTTGTTTCGATTGCTGGGTGAGCTCTCTTGGTGTGCTTGTTTTCGTTCCCCTCGTAATGACCGACTCGCCCGAGCACACTGCGGCGATGACATCGTTGCAGTTAATTTCTGGAGGTCTAATAAAACGCAGTGACAGCGACAAAGATATTAGCTTAGCTCCAGCTCGAGTGATGACGAGGCAGCCATTCTCAATGAAGTGTTTGCCTGGCTGGCGAAGAGGCCCAAGATAACGCGTTACGTCGAAGGCGTTGTGCATGCCTATTCGGATGAAAAGCTAGGTATGTTGTTTGTTCGTTTTGTGGTCTCTGTAATGTAATTGGAATAATAAGAAGACAACACGTCAAATACTCCGCAGATGGAAGTCGCCTTCAGAGATGACGATCGTTCTACAGCATACATAATTGCATTAAAATCATCTGGTGGGCTAGCTGGGTAAACATGACCGTCATCCTTGCCTATTTTTTAGTGATGCATACACGTTTGGTATTGCTTAATACCATCCTACGGCTCGTACAAGTACTTCTAGTTGTCTTCATCGGGCTTATATAACTGTAAGGAAAAATAAATTGTGTCTTAAAGTCGGAGTCACTGTTAATCAAGTAGTCACCAATCCATTTTTTTGTCAAAGCATAAAGTTCGGATCAGAACTTCATGCTTTCAGCAAGATAGCAATGGGAACCGAAACTGTTCAAAAGCGAGAGCAGACGCTCTGGAAGCGGGGGCGCTGGGAGCGTTACGCTTGATTTGCTCCGGAAGCGTGCCACTGGGATGGATCACGTGACCGATCGCTCACGGAGGCCAACCGCTAGCGTGCAGCGCTCGGCATTTGCTAGGGGAAGGGGCTATTAGCCATGCCCCCGCACGGCAAAACATTGGCCACCTAAGAAAAGCAACACAGACCATGCCGGAGAGCGAAGATGCCGGGAGCACGTACCTGCAGTGGCCCCAGGCTCGCTTCAACGCCGTACTCACGTAGGATGCGGTCCCGCGTGATCTCCAGATGCAGCCGCCCGAGGCCGCCCAGTACCTGCAGGCAGAGCAGAGACAGCCAAGGAATGCCGAGTTCACCAAACCGCTCGCAAATTAGTCCCACAAAATGACTATGGAGAGCTCTATTGGGGCGTGGAACGCGGCAGCACGAAGAGGCCTGGACCATACGGAATCACTAATAGATACGGCGAATCATTTTAATGCGCAGACAATTGGAAACGACTGGTGCGTTCAGCGTCCTATTCCACCCACTCGTCGAAAGTGGACGAAATGGCAACAACTGACGTCGCAAAAGTCGGAGCAGCGTGCCGTCGAATGCTGCAATCCTGACGGTTGGGCATAGAAGTTCTAGAAAAAAGGCACGAGGAACGCTAGTGTCTCTGCCGTCACGGCACACCCTGACTGCCGACGCTTTTGTAAACTGCCAAATTGGAAAGCGATCTGCAGCAGAACAGACGTCCGCCACACCTGCCACCGCCGCTGCGGCACCACCAGGGTCGCGGCTGTCAACATGCAGACACTTGTATGATGTCGTCGGGCGGAAAGAGAGAACCACTTTTTAGGATGCGGCAGTCACACCAGTCGGACACCCGTTCCAGACACCGCTGCCTACTCCAACTTTCCAACCGAGGCAGGATTACGCACTGGACGCATTATGCTAGAACCGGTGGCCGTCGCGTTAGGTTTCCAAGCGTGCCACTCGACATAGTGTCTGCTGAGACCGAAAATGCAGCCAGCCTGGTGACTGCTTTCTGCCGGGAACAGAGCGTGGAAAGAGAGATGGAAGACTGGGAAAAAAAAAAGCAGACCCAAAGTTAGGCATGTTCGTTTTGCCGGTACGCGTTCAAGTCGTTCCACTGCTCTTCAACTTGCCTTTTTTTCGTAGCGGGCACGACGCGGGCGTTTTCTTGCAAAACGAAGCTGAAAAAAAACTAGGTGCCAACGTTGCGAATGATATTCCTCTGATTCTTTGCATTTACTGTAGGCTGACTGAGAATCGAAGTCTACTGGGACCACAGATATCGGCTTACATTCCGGGGTGGCCGAAGTTTATGGGAAGTTGATGGATCTTTTCCTCTACATTTACAGCGATGACTCCTTTATATGGGTACCTGCCTTGTACCTGCGTTCCCTCAAATAATGGTCCATAATGCGAGTTTCCCATAATAACTATGGGCAGGGGAGGGGGGGGGGGGGGGCTAGCGGCCTCGTCAGGGGGCTTTTTTTGCCTTCTTTTGCTGCAGCCCCCCAGACATATGTATCGCACATGTATGTCTGAAATAAACTATTCTATTCTATTCTGACGAAACAAAAATGCATGTAGCTCGTCCCTGAAAATTCTGTCTATATATGTCGAAGTATCCATATTAACGGGTCCGTATTAGAGAGACATGACTCTATTATACCGGGTATTTCAGTGAAGAAATTGAAACATTCCTACCAATAGGGTAGAGGAGAAAAGAAGATAACTTTCAGCCTTTTCACTCCGGTGAAGAAGGAAGACAAGCGAAGCTGTACTATGATGGGGTGACCTCAAAGACGACTTCTTGGACGACCTCAAGGGCGACGCCTAAAACACGAACTCTGGGACGACCCTCAGAACGACCTCCAGGATGATGTCTAGGATGACCTAAAGGACAATGCCTAGGATGGCCTCAGAGACGACGTCTAGGACGACCTCAAGGACGACTTGTAGTACGATGCCTAGAGACATTCAGCCTTTCCACTCCGGTGAAAACCAGAGTGGAAAGGCCTGGAGAGCTACTGCCATCTACGAGCGACGGTGGCAATTAGACAACCGGCAAGCCGGTTGTCTGGTTGCCGCCGTCACTCATAGATGGCAGCAGCTCTCCAGAGTTTTGTGTCGAGATATATTTGTCCACGGACACGAAACTGGGGAAACTAGCCCTTAACAGCCCCGTAGTAAAACTCTTTTTGGGAACAAACCGCCAGTCACATCAAACTTTGGGGATTGCAAATATCCCACTAATTAGCTAAATAATGAACTAAGGTTTTCTAGTGAACCAACTATACTCGTATTCACCTCAAGATCCGCAGTAAAAAGAAGTCTAGCTTCTTGTGGAGCATTACGGATTCACTCCTCTGGAGAGTGAATTAAGGTACATGGGTGAATTTAATATTAGCTTGCCGTCATTTTATCACGACGTAAACGTTTTAAACGCCAAAGGCATCAGTTCTTTTTCGGATAACTAAATCTTGTAAGAAGTACCTCATGCAGCCTATGAATAATGTGCATAACTCCCCTCTTTCCTTGGTGGGATCACGTGTACAGAAGCCCGCTGAACATCATAAAAAACCTCTTAGTATCAGTCAAGTTTATCAAGACTCATTTAGAGAATTTTAGGAAGTACAGTATGTGTGAGGCAGGGGGGTGCTCTAAAGTTACCATTTGTGCAGCAGGCACAAGGTTGGCAATGCGAAAAAGCGGATGGTATCTTTACCACACCAGCACACTTCAAGTCTTCCTCAAATTGACTTTTTATGACGAGTATTTTTTATGACGGTCAGCAAGTTTCTAGTAGGAACCATATGCATATTTCCACTAATTAAAAAGTTAATTATTTAGTTCATTAGTATGTTTTTGCAATTCCCAAAGTCCGCCATGGCTAACAATGTGTACTCAAAACATTTTTTAAATTACCTCATTGGCAGAAATTTTTTAAGGTCTTTGCTAAAACACCCCGTATATGTGAACTCTAATTTATGGGCAAAAACTGAGTCGCCTTCCAGCACGAGTGGGTACAGCAATTAACTGACCATCTGTGCCGTGTCAGAGCAGTGGGTAACCTTGAGAGCCGGGTCCTCTCGGGACAGGCAAGCGAGAGCACTCTCCATGGCCCCCTGAAGCCGCATCGAAGGAGCTTCCACGCTGCAGAGCACCACGGGCTCGGGAACCTGCATGGCTGCACGTCTTCCGGCCGGACCTACAGGGTGCAGTCGGTATTTGAGAACAAACACATAAGTAAAGCCAACGTCACGTCTGCACCAATAGCATCGCGCAATGCACATACCCTCGAGAGCTGCTTTCATTGCGTCTCCGCTCGCGCAGGGGACTGCCTTCGACGGCGCATTGCACCGCGCTCGTAAGCATCGTTACGAGCCTTTGAAAACGTTATATGCATTGCGAAGGCCAATCTCCAACCCTGCTCGTTTCGGTCTGAAAGGGCATGGTACCGGCGAGCTGCCGTGTATCCCTACTGCGCAGTGCACCTTAAATACCCCAGGCCGTGATCACTGACAAGATGAGAAAAGCAGAGAGGCTTTCGAGTTGTCCCACTACCAGCACGAGCTTCTTATCTTCAATAATGCTTCGGCGTCTTGTGAACTTGGGGCGTGCATGCGCAGCTAAAGTATGATGAAAGGCAACGAGTGCATGCTGCAGGCCGGGTATCCAAAAGCAATGCGCCGTTGTTCTCATCATGTCAGCGACTATAGCAGCAGTACCGCCTGGTCAGCCCCAATGAGACACCAGACGCCCGCTGGGGCCCACTAACTTCCTGCTGTCCAAACAAGTGCACAACAAAGAGAATTGGGGGACGATCACCCGGCATGATGGATTAAGACAGCGGCAGCCTTTTTAGTTTATTTTCGTTTATGCTCATGCCGTCGAGAAAGCGGGAGACGTGCCACTGACAGCAGCCGCTCTGATTATTTTCGCTCATGCTCACACTGTCGCCAAATTTAGCGGGGAAACTGGATCGGTGCGTAGGTCACGTGACGTAAATTTTTCTGCTAAATTTAGCAGGGAAGCTGTTTCTGTGTGTGGGTTCCGTGGCGTCGTGTCTCGCAACCTCGATTTTTGCCGCCAATTTAGCTGGTCGCTTTACATCAATTTTTTCGCTAAATATGGCAGGGAAACTGAATTTGTTTACGCTCACGCCGTCGCGAAGCCAGGGGGACGGGATCGTAACAGCTGCCGCTGTACAAAACACTAAAAATTGCGGACGCCGAAATGAGAGGGACGCTGAACCCAAACTTGCCAGCCAGCGCAGCGGCGGCCGAAGAGGCGCTGTTCACCAGGAGGTCCCCCGTAACGCTGTGCTGCAGTCCAGCCACGGCCAGCACGTCGCCCGCGCCAGCCTCCTTGACCGTGCGGTATTCGTCCGCCGTCACTTCGACCAGTTCGCCTGCCTTCTCGGATATGTCGCGAGTGGCGTTGTACAGACGCTGGCCCGACGTCAGGCGTCCAGAGTACAGGCGCACAAACGTCAGCGGGCCCTTGAACTGCATCGGGACGGGCGGGCGCAGGAAAGAAGGACGGACTCCGTTGGTTCAGCAACGCAGGAGACGCCGCTTAAAGAAGCCATGCAACGATTTTTGTACTTTGCACAAACACTGCTTAGAACGAATAGCTGACCGTTAATGAACTAAGAAACACGCGATCGTTTTTCACCAGATGCAATAGAAGTCACAAAAAAGATTTAAAAGACGAGCAGCTTAAGATAACGTTTTGAGCGCCTCCAAACCACTCTCAACTTTTCCACCGTCTTCCGAGTCACGTGTGCAGTGACGCTCACTGGGGACGCTGAGAATCCAACCGGGTTTTCTTTCAGAGCCTCCAGCATGTGTGACTAATGCTTGTGATTCCCATGGCAACCTTGAAGGTTGGTTTCAGTGATGTAGAGAAAGGGAGAGAAGGGGGGGGCAAAGCGGTTGCCTTTACAAAAGGAAGCTCGACCAACTTAGGTTCACAACAGGGTGAGGCTCAAGGGAGGAATAGTTCTTTTTCACCTCTGGCAGATGGCACCACTAAAATTAAATATCTAGTACAACTTTGTTTGTCTTTCTATTCAACTGCAATTTAAAGTGCCGACACAGATTGTAGATGAAGGGCAGAAGCTGCACCTTCGCTATTACTCTTCTACCACGCCAAGACATATCACGAGCATCTTATGAAACCATACCAGGAAGAAAGCCGGATGTCTCTACCTTAGTATGGACCACCTTGAACGCGAGTGCTGCCAGCCGATCCTTCCGGTCATCCGCAACCAGAGGCCCAGGCAAGAAGTCCACCACGGCATCGAGCAGCGGCTGCACTGCCGTGTTCTTGTAGGCACTTCCGCAGAGCACCGGAACGGCCACGCCTGCCACCGTAGCCCTCCTCACCGCCGACAGCAGTTCCGGACCTGTTGGAGACTTGTCCCTCAAAAGGAACTCGTCTGCAAAAAGGTCGTCGGCTTCGGCTATGGCTTCGGCTAGGACTTGCCGGTGACGAAGCGCTTTCGCGTGCAGGTTTGTCCCATGCGCGATGGGAGAGCGGCTGAAGATGCGGCCGCGTTGAGAGTCGGACGGCCAGACGAGGATTTCGAGCGAGGCGAGGTCGACGACCCCTGCGAACTTGTCGTCTGCTCTTACTGGAAGCTGGAGAACGAGGGGTAAGGAGGAGAGCTTGGAGCGGATGTCTGCCACGCAGGCGTCAAAGTCCGCCGCAGACTTGTCCATCTTGTTGACAAAGACGAGTCGGGGCAGGCTGTGGCGGTGGGCCTGCTCCCAGACGGACAGCGTCTGCGCCTGGACGCCCTCCGAACCATCCAGCACCGTGATTGCACCGTCAAGAACCCTCAAGGAACGTTCGACCTGTAGATGAAACAGCCAAAAACGGATTAACGAGCGTTGGAGTGGAGGAAAGAAAGCTTGAGACTGCAAAACATTCCACATGAAAAGGGACAGCATAGGAGGGATTAAAACGATTATGACCTTTAAAGGGATACTTCAACGAAATTTGAAATATTCCCGTCGTGTTCAAAAATAGGTTGAATATGATCCACAATATCCGTAAATGACAATCGCACTATTGTATTTTGAGCCTGGTGGCTGCATTTTTCATTATAAACGGCCCACTCTAGCAAGCGCTCGGAGAAGGCCCAGCGGAAACCACGTGACACCCAACGCAATCGTGACGTAGGTCGTCTCAGGACAAGTAAAGCTACGACGAGGCCGACATCGAGAGGATGGCCTAGTCGTTCCAGCCACCGAAGCGGCTACTTTTGTACGAATTTTGAGTGACAGATTAATTTTTTATAATCTTGTAAGGGGACAATAGTGACTTCCGCGACACACAAAAGGCATTCTCGGGAAGAGGGGAGTTCCTCGTGCCCCTCTTCTCTCGTCATGGCCGGAGGCGAGACAACCTCCGTCACTACCTGTCAAGGTTCCTAGACGGGCATTACAAGTGAGGCGTTAGCGACATCCACCAGGTGCTCTTTGCTAATTGTTTAATTCGTTTTAAAATTCCTTTTCGTGACTTTTTAAACAAGATATCGGTATGTTCGATGTGATGCCGCTCCTTTGAACACATATAGACCAAAAAATGAGCGCCGAAATTTCGTTGTAGTATCCCTTTAAATCAGTTCCAACTAGGAACAAGCCTCTGAATACTGCAAAGCTTAAAGTGCGCCCATACTTTTTTTGCCCAATGTTTTTTTGGGTTGTTACATGCCCCACATAAAACAATATTTAAAAATGTAGAAAAATAAAAAGCTGATTTATGATGGCAATTGCATTCAAGGTGCACCGCATTGGTAATTTGACGACAGGTGTTTTAGATGGATGTGAGGTTGGTGTAGTTGTACAACAGCGAATCTTATTTCTGTAGGGCATCTTTGGGTGAAGTCTTGCCCAAACATCTAGCTAATCAACAAGAAGTGTGAACAAAAGTTTCGCAAAAAAAAAAAAGCCGGCGATGGTGAAGAACGCTCGCGGGCTTTACCTCGACGCTGAAGTCCACGTGCCCCGGGGTGTCGACCAGGTTGATCCTGTGCCCGCGCCACGGGAACGTCACCGTCGCCGCCGTGATGCTGATGCCACGCTCCCGCTCCTGCGGCAAGCAGTCCGTCACGGTGTCTCCGTCGTGAACTTCGCCCATGGACCGGGTCAGGCCACTGTAGAACAGGATCCGCTCCGTGACAGTCGTCTTGCCGGCGTCGACGTGCGCCACGATCCCGATGTTGCGAATCTTCCGAGCGTCGCTCTGGTCGGTAGTGGACGCAGGCTCGCCGGTTGTGGTCGCAAACAGCCGTTTTAAGTTCCACCACCGGCGAACAGCCCAGCCGGCCTTCGCCGGCTTTCGGAAGATTCTCGCCGGCATGAATCCGAAAAATGTTACCTATCTCTCTTTCGATTCCAGTCTCAGCTATGCATAGATCGCGCCATGAACGGGGTATTTCGATTCACACTTTAAACAGTAACAACGCGACCGCTGTCAAGCAGCCTACAGAATCGAGCGAATCGAGAAAGGCATCATGCGCGCCGCCATTGTATCTGTCTTCGGCTACTTCTTTGGCTACGTTTGAAAAATATGTAATCTAGGTGGCGCTAAATATCGTACTCTTTCGTGAAGGCAAAGTTTTTCTTTTTGATTTTAGAATATCAATTTCGGTTACATTAGAAACGCCTGACTACGTTGTACAAAATGAATGCACTATATTGTTTAGATTGTTTTTATTTATTTCGTAAATTACATTTCAGCGCTGGACGTGTTGCGCCGTCTAGATGGTTCGAATGGCGGTTGGTGGCGCCGCGGGGGCTTCGAGAGTTTCTTTTCTTTCTTTGCACGTGTATCCGTGGGACGCACCAACCAGCCAGCATCCGCTTCTAGCCATTTTATTAGCCTTCATTTGCCTGAAAACCGATCAATAATGACAAAACTGAACCGCTTCGTCAGCTCGTCCAGGAGGAAGAGCCGGAAGAGGCATTTCAACGCCCCGTCCCATATTCGTAGGAAGATGATGAGTTCGCCACTTTCCAAAGACCTCCGGCAAAAGTACAACGTGCGCAGCATGCCCATCCGGAAAGACGACGAGGTTCAGGTGGTTCGAGGACATCACAAGAGCCAGCAGGTAAGCGAGGAAGCCACTAGTAACAAACGCTTGGAGACGGCCGGCCCATATGCCTCGGTTGCACCGCCGGTCATGGTCGGTAGCCGAAGAAATATGGCGGAACCGACGTGACCGGTGTTGCCAACTGCCTCGCGGTGGTGCTGACTTGTCCCTAGAATGATCCCAAAAATATCCTTAGACCAGGAGAAAGCATCCCTAACTTAGTATGAAGTAGTGATGGGACGAATCACCCGAGATTCGGATTCGGACAGATTCGGAAATTTCCGAACTTCCCGCGACGAATATTCGGCAGATTCGGAGATTCGTCCGAATCGTCGCTGGTTGCAGGCGGCAGCATGAACCTTGTCGTAAACCTCGCGAATGCGGTCAGTTGTGCTTTTCTAGCTACTGTTACTGCATATAAACAGAATTCGTCTTGTTCATTTCAACGTATGGTATGTACTGTACTGTCATTCTAGACCCTGGCACGCGCCCAGGTCCAGCTGAGCTGATCGGTGTGGTTGACGTAGGCCTAACCAATGCACGGTCTCGCTTTCTGTGCGGTTTCGCGGTGATCGGTAAAATGTAGCGAAACGCTGTGTATTATACGTAATGTGGCGCAACGAAAAATAAATATATATTCAGCCAAGGAAATGATTCGTCTCCTCTAGAGCTCCGTATGTCTGTACCTGTAAGTCGCGAGAGCGAGATACCGGTGGCAAAGAAAAACGTCGCACTGCCGTTTCTCCGTTTTCGGCAGCAAGTTTTGTATACGTGAACTTTATTTGACGAAAAAGAAACACAATATAGGGGTGTCCAACGCAACTTCGTTGTTCGGAAACAGACACTAACTAAATCGGATAGCATGCATTAACGAAGTTTCAGATTGTTTCCCGTGTTCCGATAGCAATACCTCAGTCAGTGGATAATAATCGAATCGAACATACTCACTTGTGTGGTGTGTGCCACACTGACAGTAATTATCGGCACGAAATGTGTCTGTACCGAACAGCACTTACGGCATCGATCTCTTGCGGCGATGAAAACATGCGCTTGTATTTCCACGTGCGTGCATCAAGCATGCCTATTTGGGTCGTAATCCAGAACCGAAACCAACTTTCCTGCGATGTCTGGCTACCGTTCTCGATAAACATCCAAAATAATATAAACAAGGTGGAACATTTTATTTATTACTGTGATATTATATTACAATAATCTTTTGTGTACTTTGTAGAATTTAGTGAATTTAATATCACAAAAAGTTGAAACACACATCAACGTGATTTAGCAACCATGGCAACGCTCCGAATCTTTCCGAACTTTTCCGAATCGCTTGAGATTCGGCTACTTTTCCGAATCTTTCCGAATCTGCAGATTCGGCTCCGAATCTCGATTCGGATAAAGATTCGTCCCATCACTAGTATGAAGTGGTTGATTTTGTGAACGCTTGGTCTACCTCTAGCTCTCTTCGAACTTGTGCTTTTGGGCGCATGCCTTGCGTGGCAAAATTCGACTGCCCCACCGGGTCGATAACTTCTCTGTGTGGGGTGTTTTGCGAGTGAACTAAACTGATCAACGGGGTGCAATTAAAACTTTACGCAAAGAAAAGCGGAAACAACCAGTCTGGTTTACGCTGCCACTCACAGATGGAACCAGATGAAACGAAAGCGTAAAGGTTTTTTCCGAGATGATAATAATAATAACCTTTATTGAACCCTGGACGGTTGCAGCACCACAGAAAGGCCGTTGGCCCAAACCCGAGGCCTATGGTGCCCCACTACTAGAAATAATCGCAAGCAGATCCTATCAGGTTCGAGCGCGTGTGGTGCCATCTCAAGAGCAGTGTGAACTACTATAAACGACTTAATTTTCGCGGATCACCTACAATCCGCGAAAAATAGGTCCCGCGAACAATTCCGGTGAAATCTGAACACAATGTCGCGAAAATTGGAACCCGCGAATTATTCCAAAAGTTCAAATTTGTCCTAAATCATGAAATATTGAGCCTGCAAAAAATATGTCAATTACAGTATTCTTCGTTTCATAATAACTTGGCGAACTTTGGAGGCTGCGGCTGCAGCCTTATCGACCTAATAAGAGCGCCGGAGCAATGCACGTGGCAGCACTCCATGTGTCGAAGCCACAGAGCCCTCCTTACGGCCACAGCAACAACGCCATCCGCGATTAAAAGTAATTCTAGGCTTTGTTTTTATTTTAGTAATGTTGCGGTCAGACTCTTCTGACCACAACACCACATGACATGGAAGAAGGACGAAGGCATGTTACTTTTCTACGGTACATTGTACAGATCAACAGTTGCCCGAGAAAAAACGACTTTCGAACGATGTTTGAACCATCGCAGCCGTGTAATCCACCGCTTCCACTTAAAATATTGCCCTGGCATCAGCATTTGCCACAGATTCGTGGCTAAATTGAGTGTTTGGTTGTCTCAGGAACTGTTCCCGAAGAGATCGCTACTCTAACAGACGACAATGCTGCGGCGGTGTACGTTCGTTTAAATTGGTTGGTTTCACAGCAGACGACTCTTGGCCAGCAGATTACACCCAGTTTTTCCCTGCCTCGCATTTGGCTCAGCGACACAAACGCTCCCGTGACGTGGTGTCACGTGCCTCGCTCAGACGCCCTTTATTGGGTCGCAAGAGCCGTAGCCTCCGAAGTTCGCCAAGTTATCGTGAAACGGAGTATAGACTAGCTGTTTCCTTTCTTCCCCCTCTGCATAGGATTAACATTTTCTTTTTTTTCTTGCATTTTATTATAGAAATTTACACTTCTGAAAACTGACCATAATAAATGGGCCACCTAAAGACACCTTTGTGAAAAGTATCATTGCACTCCGTTTGTCAGATTACTTATTTATGCTGCAAACGAAATTGATGTCAACTAAAAGACATCAGGACATCAAAAGACTCTTGTTAACAATTGGATACTGTCAATAAAGCAAACATAAAACTGATATAAAAAAAAGCAAGAAAAGCTGCATATGGCGTCCACTGGGGACCCAAGGGAATCCTAGGCGTGCTTCCCCCACAAGTGTAATGCGTCCTCTCGGCTTTTTGAAAAACTAGTCTAATGTCTGTTGGGCGACATTTCCATTGGCGAGTGACAAATGCAAAGCTCGCTGTTGATTGGGCGGGACGGCATTGTCAAGGGGCAAAGCACGGCTATTGAGAAGAGGACCTCAGTATTTTCCACTTCGCGAGGTCGAGGGTGACAGCAAGGCACAAGTGTAACTGCAACAGAAAACGTCTTCATGTGGGACAGCATTAGGACGAGGCAATCGTTGCTTACCCGAATTGCCGAGCAGCCAATCCCGACAGCGAGATTTGGCTAGGGTGCCACGTTTCACAGATGAATAAGTACTGCTTTGAAGACATATCGGAGCATCCTTTATTTATTTATTAAAGGCAGCAAAGAAGCAGGCAGAGTCCGGAGAGGCAGCACACATATGCGCCGCTCGATCATCTCGCGCAGCATGCTGCGGTGCAGAAAGCACTTGCACGTTGCCCCACAGAAACCACCTCAAAAAGCGCTCGTACCACTACGATTTGGTGATTCAACGCGAGTCATGGAAGAGTAGCAAACCCACGAAGGGAAGCCATTGGTGTTGACGAAGTGTGTTGACTGCACTTGTGACATTGCTAGGCCTAGTGGCCCGATGAATCGGGCACACTGAACACTTCAGTGATGACCGTTAGACTTTCCCATTGTCACACAGAAAGTGCTAGACAAAAGCGCATACTGTCACGGCTTTGTTACATAAACGAGGGTGGATATAGAGCTTGAAAATCATTGCGAACCCGGCATCGCATCGCCACCCGCGCTCGCTGCTATCTTGAAAAAAGGCAGTTCATCAAGCCATCACGCCAGTTTAAATACAAAAAACAATTGGCTGGCAGAGTCCCCTGGAGGGGCATGTGCCACTGGGCTCTTAGCTTGTTACCACCTATAGCATTTCTAAACAAAACCTCCATTGGTTCTGCAGACGTTTCCACAAACAATTAAGCTGATGTGTTTTGCTTTTTCTCAGTCTTGTTTCCCTATATTTCGTCCTCTTTTTTGCGAGAAGAATCGTGAGGAGTATGGTATTTTGGGCAGAATCCTGGCTTTCGAAAATCGCAAGATTTTGTTAAATGTCTCTAAATCCCTAAATGAAAGGAAACTTCCCTAGATCTAGGGATAGTACCTTATTGCCAACATCACACTTGGCTGTCTTGGCTTGGCTGTGAGTGTTGGCCAATATCTGAGCACCTGCAATCTTCGTTATTAGCTGCCTGAGCTGGCTTAACCAATTCACACTAAAACTTTAGCAAAGTTTTGTCAGAGCAGAATTTTGTGAAATTTTACTTATTGGACTGTGTTACCAGACCTTTTCTTAAACCTAGTTTTGTATAAAAGCCTTTGTACAATATAAAAAAGCCTTTTTGTTTACACAGTGTCATACTGAATATCCAAGTTTTTAATGTTTTAATTTGCATTTGAATGCATTGTCAACTAAATCATTTTTTTTTTTTTTTTTGCATTTCATTTGTGCAATGTAAAGATAAGCACCATTATTTACTGTCTGCGCTGGTGCCCGAGATCAGCATCTTTGACCACATACCAGCGTGGTGATATGCACTCATTTCTTGGGTCATGAAAACTGCTTAGCTTTGAATACAGCTTTTCACTTTTTATTAAAAAGGTATAGGGAAAAGTGAAGATTGCCTGTGACAACTTTTGTGCTGTCATACCTCTCCTGCTCGATTGCCCACTTGACATGGACGCCTGGGAGGATTGCCATATTTTCCGCAAAAGCCGATTACAGCCGAAAAAGAAAAAGGAAAAAAAGATTTCCTCGGTGGTTTACACCCGGTGCAGACCACCCAAGGGACTCGGTGGCCGAGTAGGTTTGTGCACCGCAGCTTGTAGCACAAATAGCGAAAGCTTGCGCTACAGAACCCAGAAATTCAGGGTTCAATCCCCAGTCCTGCCGGTTTTGATCTGGAGGAGCATCGTTCCTGGCGTGCGGTCGTGTATCACTAGTGTATGGTGCACTTTAAAGACCCCAGGCTGGCGGGGGTACCACACTGGCTAAATTCCTCATCTGCAGCATAAACCACTGTTGTCGCACCTCAAAAGCAGACCACGAACGTGAAATTTGGTTCGGTGTGGTGGGCTTGATGAGAGGAAGTGGCTGACACAGATGAACACTGTTTCAGGTCGGCAAAGTGGTCCAGGTGTACCGCAAGAAGTTCCTGGTCCACATCGAGCGCATCCAGCGCGAGAAGGCCAACGGCGCGTCGGTGCCCGTGGGAATCCACCCGTCCAAGGTCTTGATCGTCAAGCTCAAAATGGACAGGGACCGCAAGAAGATCCTCGAACGCCGCGGACTGGGGCGCCAACTCAAGGACAAGGCAATGAAGGGCAAGCACACAGAGGAGAGCGTTGCCATGGAATCATGAGTTGCAGAGAGACGCCCACAGTAAAAATCCGGTTCAGACGCCAGGCTGTGTCGTGTGTGTCATTTTGACTTCAGTTCCTGTATGGGCTCCCTACGGGAGCCAGAGTTGCGCGTCTGTTTTCCACGTGCCACCGCGCCGCTATTTGATGACGTGAGGAGCAGATTCAAATGCCGTGCAGGAAAGTAGACGTTGCGCGCGCCCCGGCGTACGTTCCCCTGCTTTTGAACGCGCCGCGCGCCTCGAACGCGCGGCGCCGCTATTCGCCAAATTCAGTCACGTGAAGGAAGACCCCGTATGCCGTGCAGGAAAGCCGGCGCTACAGGGATGAACGCGCAACTCTGCTACCCTCGGTTGCTCCGAAGTGCTGGTTTGGGAGCCTCAGCGGCCTGTAAAATATCATCAAAGGTGGGTGCCAACAATCGGACGTTTATTTCACCACCCGAGTTGAGCTCTAAAAAAATTATATACATAAAACTATTTTTCCGAAACGGCGTTCGCGGCCCGAGTTTCAGGTATATGTACGATTGGAACTCGGATGTTTGCAAGGCGTGCCAAGTGTGCTGGTCCTTACTTAGTCCTTACGACCTAACCTTGTATGAAGTATTTTGGGTCTGGTCTGATACTTGTTTTTAATGCAATTAAATGCAAAGGTGCAAGCGAGCTGGACAAGAGTGACGAAAATAATCTGGACAAGGAGGACAAAGGACAAACACAAATCTCCAAACACAGCTAGGTGACTGGTGCGCAACCGAAAAAATCCGCCTGGTCCTGGTATCGAACCCGGGACCGGGACCCGGGACAGGTGGAGAGGTCCCGGGTTCGATACCAGGACCTGGCGGATTTTTTCGGTTGCACACCAGTCACCTAGCTGTGTTTGGAGATTTGTGTTTGTCCTTTGTCCCTCTTGTTCTCCTTCTGCAAGGATTATTTTCGTCATTCGTGAGTCTGATACTTCTTGGACGTTACAGGTGACTGAAACAGTCAGGCTTAAATTGACGAGACACGTGACCCTTTGTAACGACTATGGTTACCTTTCGTGACGTCACGACCTTGCGAACGACAAGTTCGATTGGGTTTTTAAGGAGCATGGTAGAAGCTTGAAACCATTGCGCTCTTAGAGAAACGCTACCAACACCGTCGAAATTGAAGTTCTTCCATTCCTCTTATTTCCGTTGAAGAGAAATCCTTTGCTGACGTCGTAGTCAGCATTCGGCCAATGGTGGAAGGCCGACTACAGCGACGCTTTCGATCGACAATCGCGCATGTCGCCAATAGTGGTCGACTGCATGCTCTAATTTGCGTTAGGTACAAAAAAAACAAAAATCGTTGTGCATTTTTTTTTTTTTTTTTATGAGTTGCGCCGTGGCTTATTGTTATTGTCGGTAAATGCTTTTGAACCCAAAATGCACACTGCAAAGGGATCAAATGACCAACTATTTTCGAGCACATTATCCCCGTGCAGTTTGGACTTCTCAAGCAAAACAAAGTCTCTTGCAATTGCTTTTTTTTTTTTTTTTTTTTTTCAATTTGCGGTGAGTACATTGCAAGAAACTGCCAAGGTGTCCCCCCCACCCCACCCCTAAAAAAACATTTACATGTTTTTTGTTTGTTTGTTTTTACCGCAAAAATGAACTATGCATCTCTGAACGCTCATTCCCCGCCGAAAGGTAGCGTTAGGGGTCCGAACCAGATGCCAAAGTTATTCAAAAGGTATAAAGGATTTCTTGGAAAAGTTCAATGGGAAGATAAGGCCCATTTTCGCCCGTTTTCGGTTTCTGGCGCGATAAGGTTCCATGTATTCGAGAGCTCCGTCGGCCATCATTTTCTCGTTGCAATTTTTAGAAAATCCCTTTAACTGCCGTCCAGAGAATGGTTTTGAGACGATGCATGTAGGACGTTGTGGTGCCATGGCAACGCGCAATCCTTTATTCGCGCCGCGGCGTAGCTATTCCAGAGTAACTATATTCAGCACCACGTGACGTAGAGCTTAGGGAATCGCGAGGCAAATCCGGACAGTCGCATCTCTTCAGTGCTAGATTGACTGTGATGACTTGCAGCGTGTGCATGATACATCCCGGCTATTCAGTGGCCCTTTTTTTATGTGTTTGCTGAATACACGGACCTTTGCATCTCTCGGCAACTGTGCCTGGCAGCCGCCATAACGTATACCTTCAGGTTTTGTTTCCTCTTGTCCGTAATACTTCACTTCATCATTACCGTAGCAGGTGAGGTTATTGCCATTTTAGATTCTACTCAGTCCTTCTTCCCAGCATTGGTCTTTGTGAAAAGGCTCGTTAACACCCGTTTCAGTGACTCGGTATGCCGGCAAGACAGGGGAAAGTCAGCAATGGCGGCTGCAATCTGGCGCGTCTCTATGTATTCAGGGCTCTATCTTACCATAAGTGCGAGCGAAACCGAAGGCACGAGCGCGGGGGTTTCATGGCCTGCACTGGCGTCGCACCAGCCGCCATTATGGTGTCCTTGGTATCTTTTGCAGCGTAAACTGTACACTATCGCCTTTTTTTTTTTTTTTTTGCAAGACAATGTTTATTGGCATGGTGCAAGGACGTTACGTGCAAGCCATGTGTAGCGCTAACTCGGCCGAACTTGCGTCTTCTTGCCTTTTGAGCTCCGCGACGCCGTAGTATCAAAGAGCTGAGTTGGATGACCACATTCACGGTTGTCACGGGATCATCATCAACGCCCGTCTTGATTGACGCACGTACCGAATGTGAAAAACATGGCATTTCTAGACAGATAGATAATTAAATGTAATATGGCCCGAGCTGTCACGTTAACTTACGCCGCAACCCGTTTTTTTTTTTTTTTTGCAAATGTAACATTGGTTAGAAAATGAGCGGGATGTGAAGCGGCCGATAGAAAGAAGGAAGTCAAACCAGCGCTGTGAGGCGAAGTCCCTGGGTTAAAATCACGCTTGGCGTTTCTTACAAAAAACCACAAGCAACAACCGCAGCACAGTTTTTTTTTTTTTTTTGCAAATGTAACATTGGTTAGAAAATGAGCGGGATGTGAAGCGGCCGATAGAAAGAAGGAAGTCAAACCAGCGCTGTGAGGCGAAGTCCCTGGGTTAAAATCACGCTTGGCGTTTCTTACAACAAACCACAAGCAACAACCGCAGCACAGTTTTTTTTTTTTTTTTTGCAAATGTAACATTGGTTAGAAAATGAGCGGGATGTGAAGCGGCCGATAGAAAGAAGGAAGTCAAACCAGCGCTGTGAGGCGAAGTCCCTGGGTTAAAATCACGCTTGGCGTTTCTTACAACAAACCACAAGCAACAACCGCAGCACAGTTTTTTTTTTTTTTTTTGCAAATGTAACATTGGTTAGAAAATGAGCGGGATGTGAAGCGGCCGATAGAAAGAAGGAAGTCAAACCAGCGCTGTGAGGCGAAGTCCCTGGGTTAAAATCACGCTTGGCGTTTCTTACAACAAACCACAAGCAACAACCGCAGCACAGTTTTTTTTTTTTTTTTTGCAAATGTAACATTGGTTAGAAAATGAGCGAGATATGAAGCGGCCGATAGAAAGAAGGAAGTCAAACCAGCGCTGTGAGGCGAAGTCCCTGGGTTAAAATCACGCTTGGCGTTTCTTACAAAAAACCACAAGCAACAACCGCAGCACAGTTTTTTTTTTTTTTTTTTGCAAATGTAACATTGGTTAGAAAATGAGCGGGATGTGAAGCGGCCGATAGAAAGAAGGAAGTCAAACCAGCGCTGTGAGGCGAAGTCCCTGGGTTAAAATCACGCTTGGCGTTTCTTACAACAAACCACAAGCAACAACCGCAGCACAGTTTTTTTTTTTTTTTTTGCAAATGTAACATTGGTTAGAAAATGAGCGGGATGTGAAGCGGCCGATAGAAAGAAGGAAGTCAAACCAGCGCTGTGAGGCGAAGTCCCTGGGTTAAAATCACGCTTGGCGTTTCTTACAACAAACCACAAGCAACAACCGCAGCACAGTTTTTTTTTTTTTTTTTGCAAATGTAACATTGGTTAGAAAATGAGCGAGATATGAAGCGGCCGATAGAAAGAAGGAAGTCAAACCAGCGCTGTGAGGCGAAGTCCCTGGGTTAAAATCACGCTTGGCGTTTCTTACAAAAAACCACAAGCAACAACCGCAGCACAGTTTTTTTTTTTTTTTTGCAAATGTAACATTGGTTAGAAAATGAGCGGGATGTGAAGCGGCCGATAGAAAGAAGGAAGTCAAACCAGCGCTGTGAGGCGAAGTCCCTGGGTTAAAATCACGCTTGGCGTTTCTTACAACAAACCACAAGCAACAACCGCAGCACAGTTTTTTTTTTTTTTTTTTGCAAATGTAACATTGGTTAGAAAATGAGCGGGATGTGAAGCGGCCGATAGAAAGAAGGAAGTCAAACCAGCGCTGTGAGGCGAAGTCCCTGGGTTAAAATCACGCTTGGCGTTTCTTACAACAAACCACAAGCAACAACCGCAGCACAGTTTTTTTTTTTTTTTTTTTTTGCAAATGTAACATTGGTTAGAAAATGAGCGGGATGTGAAGCGGCCGATAGAAAGAAGGAAGTCAAACCAGCACTGTGAGGCGAAGTCCCTGGGTTAAAATCACGCTTGGCGTTTCTTACAACAAACCACAAGCAACAACCGCAGCACAGTTTTTTTTTTTTTTTTTGCAAATGTAACATTGGTTAGAAAATGAGCGGGATGTGAAGCGGCCGATAGAAAGAAGGAAGTCAAACCAGCGCTGTGAGGCGAAGTCCCTGGGTTAAAATCACGCTTGGCGTTTCTTACAACAAACCACAAGCAACAACCGCAGCACAGTTTTTTTTTTTTTTTTTGCAAATGTAACATTGGTTAGAAAATGAGCGAGATATGAAGCGGCCGATAGAAAGAAGGAAGTCAAACCAGCGCTGTGAGGCGAAGTCCCTGGGTTAAAATCACGCTTGGCGTTTCTTACAAAAAACCACAAGCAACAACCGCAGCACAGTTTTTTTTTTTTTTTTGCAAATGTAACATTGGTTAGAAAATGAGCGGGATGTGAAGCGGCCGATAGAA